TTTATATAGCTGTAAAAATAACTTTTCTATTCCTCGTTCTCTTTCTTGGCCTCTGTCATCTCTACTGGGGAATGAACTTAAACTTCACAAAAGATGTGATGGCATTTTATTCTTTTATATCTGGCAGATATCTCTCTTTCAGCCCCAGCAAGCCAACGATAAGGAAGTAAGAGGCCCATAGATTACTATATCTTTTCATACTATCAGTGAGGCATGGGAACAAAACACTGTGCAAGGGGCCAGAAGACAAGGCTCTGGTTCCAGCTCTACTGATACTTTCTCTAGGACTCTGGGTCTCACTCTCGTCATCCATAAAATATGGAAACTTGCCCTTTGTGAATTTTTCTGGAGCTGAAGACCACAGAAACAGCCTGGTTCTTGGACCACAGATCAGTAGCCTGGATGCCAAGGAGGCAGCATCCCTTCCAGACATCTCAGAGCTCCCCATGCCCATTTGTGCCTACTCACAAGGTGACACCTGACCATAATGGTCCATTTCCCTGCTACAATGTTGGTGATTGAGCATCATTCACTGTTGCATTCCAGTGCCTAGTATATTGCTTAAAAAAAAAAAAATCAAATTCCTTGCCATCAAGTTGATTTGGACTCCCTGAAATTCCATGTGTCACATAGCAGAACTTCTCCATAGGGTTTTCTTGTCTACTATCAGGAGGAACAAGTCCCTTGAGAAGGACATCATGTTTGGTAAAGTGGAGGGTCAGAAAAAAAGAAGAAGATCCCCAATGAGATGGATTGGCCCAGTGGCAGCAGAAATGGGCTCAAGCTTAACAACAATTGTGAGGATGGTGTAGGACTAGGCGGTGTTTTGTTCAGTTGTGTATACAGTCACTATGAGTTGGAACGGACTCAACTAAGCACAAGCTTTGTGGAAGCCAGTCATCAGCCTTTTCTTATGTGGAACCACCATTTTCATCACCTAGACTCCTTATTGCTGGTGCCCAAAATACAGTTCTTGAAATCATAAATTAATGAATGAACAAATGCATCTAGTTTGAAGGCTCAGGTCAGCAGCCTTTCTCAGGTGCGACTGGAAGTATAAGGGTAAGTCTATAAACCAAGGAGTAAAGAGTTTCTGGGATGTCCAAGTTCATGAGATAGTGAGGCAGTCCCAAGTCAAGCATAGGATTAAAGCTATCCCTTCTGACTGTTACTTCCTGTTGGTGACACACACTTCAACCCCCAACTGCAAACTCCAGGCCCCGGGGAAGCCGATGAGATATTGTCAACAGCTTCCCAAGGTAGGCCAGTATCACCCATCCTGTGCCCACAGGCTAGTGTTACATGCCAACAGTTACCTTGCTGGGATTTCTAGGTCCTGTGCTTCTAGGTTTACACAGAGCCTCTTGGTCTCCACACACAAGGAAGAGTCAGAGCGACATCCAGTTTTGTTCCCACCATCCTCTCCCAGAAACTTCCTGTTTGGCAGCCCATCTCAGCATAGACCAGAGAGACTTGGTAAGGTATCCCAATCCTGGGTGCAAATGAGAAGATGAAAGTAGACAGAGGTACATGATTGAGACACACCTAAAATTCTTTCTTGTCTAAATTCCTTTGGTCACATTTTGTGGGGGTACCTCCCAGCACTCCCACTCCCTTAGCCTATAGACACGTCTCACATCTCTCTGCCTTGTTCTCTTTCTCCACCAACCTCACAACCATGAACACCTTCCCGATTTAGTCTCTGGAATCCATCACCCACCAAGGGCCTCAGTGACCCTCTGAAGATAGTAGAGAGGGAGCAGAAGGGACAGGTAACAGGAGAACATTTGGCTCTCCTAGCTTGGCCTCCATAGCTCATACCATAGCCCTTAAACCCACCACTCCCTAAAACCTCAAGAAAACACCTCCCAGACAGATTTATTAGTAGAGTCAGAGAGAATGGAATAAATGAGACAACTTGTATCTTTAAAGCCTCTACTGAGGAAGCTTCTGTCAGAGTTCTATTTAGGGTGATAGGAGACAAGTTGAGGACAGCAGAAATGCCCCTAACCCTCAGTGTTATATGAACACCCCAGAACACCAGTAAACCAGTGCAAGTGGAAAAAGACTCTGAAGGCCAAGTCAAATACAGGAGTTCCTAGGGAACCAATCCAATGGCACTCAGCAACAACAACAAGGGAACCACTGAAATCATCTTGGGAGTGACTTTTAAGTAGAGCATTTGTGGTATTAGTGGGTGTGTGCCATTGAATCAGTTACGATTCATAACAACCCTGTCTCGGGTTTCCAATCTTTATAGGAGCAGAAAGCCTGATTTTTCTCTTGCAGAGCAGCCAGCAGATTCGAACTGCTGACCTTGCAATTAGCAAGCCAACTCATAACCCACTGGTATACCAGGGCTCCTTAAGCAGAGCAATAAAGGGGGTTAAAACCAAACTAAACAAAACCTGTCCTTGGCAGAAAGAAAACAAGACATTAGCAGGTGTTGAAAGTCTGTGACATTTTGTGATGTTGACGTATGTGATGAAACAAGCTGTCAGGGAGACATTGTCCACCAGGGTAAAAATCACAGTGAAGGTAAAAGGTCAGAGAAGAGGGAGTGAAGGAGGAAGAGAAGTGAAAGACATCTTTTTTTTTAAAGTCTATTTCACTAAAGTTGGTAACTAAGATACCTCTAACTTCATAAACAACAATCCTGATGGAAAACTTCAAGTGCAGGAGGGCGAGATAGAAGTACGTGGACCCAAGAAGCAATGACTGAGGGAAAGAGGGATGGAAACAAAATGAGGTGGCAGTGCCTCAGAATGGGGGTCCAGGACAGGGTATGGGAAAGAGGAATGGCCCAGGAGGAAAGAAAGCTGGTAGGGAGTTTCCCACGCGAGGAGATTGGTGGGAGGATGCCTCCGCTGCTTCCATTCTGATGAGCATGCCAGATAAGATGCTCTTTCCTTTCGTCTCTGTTTGGTGGAAAGCTCTGCACAGTTCAGGACTCAGCGCTACTCAGGAAACAAGTGTCTCTTCTTCTGGGAGAGAGTTTATCATGTAATCATGAGTACAGAAAACAAAGACAACGATTATTTCCACTCCAGGAGTATGCGCCACCCTGGCTCGGCTACCTAAGAGAGGCCCTGTGCGCCTTTTGGCCTGCATCAACAAAAGCTATGATTCACCGATCTCTGTGGAAACTGAGACTCTCAAACAATCTCTAGATGGCGGAGAGGCTCACCCTCTGGCTTCAGCCTCAAGGAGGAAGCAATTCAGAGAACAGAGCACTGCCACTCCAGATGCCAACCTGCCATGCCAGGCAAGTGAGAGTGTCTGCCAACCTATTCGATATCCTTGTGTCTTGAAAGGACAGAGACCATGGGGTTTGGCTCTGTTTCTCACTATCAAGGCATTGTTGATCTGCTTAAACAATCATTCTAGGACCAGTTTCCTCATCTACAAAATGGAGACTGAGTAGATTTCATATTTTTTCTAATTCTCCCATCCTTCAAAATCACCATAATAAGCAAGAAGTCAGTAGCTAAGGGAAGATCTAACAATGTTTCCATTTTACAGACATATGAATTGAGGCTCAGAGGAGTTTCATAACTTTCCCAAGATCCCATAACTAGTAAGCAGCAGGGCTAGGACTCAAACCCAAGTCATAGTAGAGATGGGGAGATGAGATGCAGAAAAAAAAAAAGCTGGATGAGAAACTTTGTAGATTCGCTAAAAGTTTATAGATGATAGGCAATACCAGGCACAGTCAAGAAGACTAGTAGGGTAGAGAAAACAAAATCTTCTCAGTATGCAACAATTAAAGCTCTTTCAATGAAAGGAAAAAGAGTCTGGGATTCCCAATCCTCAGGAGGCGTACCAATTTGGGCAGCTTCTGTGATGATGGAGCCTTAAAGAGAGCTTGGAGGTAGAGAGAGATTTATTGTATGCTGCCTTGTGCATTAGTTAATGTGCTTTAGTTTTGTCTTCCCAACAGAACCATGAGCTTATTATTAAAGAAAAAAAAAATGTGTATTGTTCTTCTGCTGAATCCACACAGGACTTGACGCACAACTGGCCCTTCAGTGATAGCCACTTGATTGTATTGGACGGAGAGAAGGCCAAACAAACATTTAGTAACCATTTTACAAGTACCAACCATTGCAAAATATATTTTCATATGTTAGCTCACTAAATAGTCATCACAAATTCCATTTTACAGATGCATCAACTGAGGCTCAGAGGAGTTTCATGACTTGCCCAAGACCCTGCAACTAATAAACAATATGACAAGGATTCAAGCCCAAATCTTTTTGAGTCTCACTACTCCTCTCAACAGAAGACAGAGGGCTGACCTTGAAAGCCACACTATACTGAAATAGGCATGTATGCACATACACTCTTATGCTCCAAAAAATTGTTTATGATTAAGAGTTTAAGAATAAAATAAAAGCGCAATCAAAATTGAATTAATTCCTAAGGAAGATGCATGTAGAACAGGATTTTCAAGATCAGAAGGGACAGCTTGGTGGGGGTGGGGTGGAGTGGGCTGCGCAGTTTTAGCTGAGAAAATGCTCAGGAATAGGAAGCACCCTAAAGAACAGGAAGTAATGCATCGCAGTCGTTTGTATTGACATAAGATGTTTGGACAGGAAGGAGTCGGTCCCAGGCCTAAGAAAGCGGTTTGGAAATGAGGCAGTGTTTGTTCAAATTCATCATAGGATGCATGATGAGGGCATGACTGAAAGCAATTAACATGCTTCTCACTCATCTGCTGATCAAGTTGCGACTAGAAAGGAGTTTCCAAGTGGGGGAGGGATGCCAGGGAGCCAACCAGTGGCTTTGACACCATCTTAAATGGGATGCTGAATGTGAGCTCAGGGCTGGCGGATGCCTAGGGGATGCCATCAGCAAGCCCTCCTCCATTAGCAGTGTTCCGCCCCCCTGGAGCACTATAAAAGCCAAGGGGGCCTGGGAGTCCCCAGAGACTCTGTCTCCTCTATCCGCCTTCACACACCTCCATCCAGGGCTTCTTCTCACTTCTGTCCTTGTGCACCATGTCCAGGCAGTCATCTGTCACTTTCCAGACCAGCAGCCGTAGGGGCTTCAGCACTGCCTCAGCCACCACCCCTGCAGCCGGAGGATCCCGCTTCAAATCCGTCTCTGTGGCACGTTCCTTGGGAGGCAATGGGGGTCTGGGAAGGATCAGTGGCACAGGGGCTGGCTTTGGAAGCCGCAGCCTATACAACCTGGGAGGGACCAAGAGAGTCTTGGCCAGTGGGTGCAGCAGCAGCTTCCGGAATGGCTTTGGCATCAGGGCTGGCAGTGGGTTTGGCTTCGGAAGTGGGATCAGCAGTGGATTTGGTCATGGAGGGGGCGTTGGAGGTGGATTTGGGGGTTCTGGCTTCCCTGTCTGCCCCTCTGGAGGCATCCAAGAGGTCACAGTCAACCAGAGTCTCCTGACTCCCCTCAACCTGCAAATCGACCCCGCCATCCAGCGGGTTCGGAAAGAAGAGCGGGAGCAGATCAAGACACTCAACAACAAGTTCGCGTCCTTCATCGACAAGGTGAGACAAGAACTTCATCTGTTCTACTGGGTTGGAGTTGAATAAACTTTCAAAGAGGCCGAGGCTCAGAGAGAGGATCACAATAATGCAATGGGCTCCTTGGAGGGGAGTACCTCAGTTCATGCAATCCTATGGGGCTGAGCATTTTGAAGGCAGGCAGCTTGCCACACTGAACCTTGATGAAATTTCTCATTGACCTCTCTTAAAGCCATGGTTGATATGGGTCAGAGTCAATACCTAGTGGAGAATTAAGGTGATCCTCCACAGGGAGGAGAAATTCCACTGAACAGACAAACTTAGTCACAAGAAAGCAGTGCCAAGGAATTTCACTCAAGAATATAGGTTTCCCCATATAGGTCTCTAAGCTTCTCCCACAGAGGTCTCTAAGCTTCACTACATTAATTCTACTGGAAGCCATAGGAGATGTTGATTGGGATGACTGCATAAACTTCTTCATTTTTGGTTGGAGTTGTCAATTGCATAGCTGCCATATGTGTGTCAAGTGAAAAATGTGCCTCTCTTCTCCCCCTAACCAATAGGAACATCTGAATCTACCCCCCAGCATCTCCAGATTTCATTCTTTTCTTCTCTGCTCCAGGTACGGTTCCTAGAGCAGCAGAACAAGGTCCTGGAGACCAAGTGGAACCTCCTGCAGGAGCAGGGCTCCAGGACCGTGAGACAGAACCTGGAGCCCCTCTTTGATACCTACATCAATGAGCTCCGGCGACAGCTGGACACTGTTACTTCCGAGAGGGGCAGGCTCGATGCTGAACTACGGAACATGCAGGATGTTTTAGACGATTTCAAAGTCCGGTAAGCAGGGGATCAGCTTCTGGCCACACACAGCTATCCCGGGATTCCTTTTTAAGAGGAGCAGAGAGATGCAAAGGAGCAGATGCCAGTGTAAGCTGAGAGCTCTGGAATTTGCAGTCATTGTCCCATAAGGAAAAGACAGCATGGTGTGGAGTCGTCAAGGGACCTGCATCTCAGGCATTGCTTGTAAAACGGTCTATTCTTACCCATCTACCTGACTGCGAAAAGACACTGGCATCAACCTAGAAAAGCATCGTTGCTCCCATTGGAAAGCACGAGATTATTTGACAGTCAGCATGTTATTTAGCATCTCTGGATGTGAGCTGTTATTACGATAGTTGGCATTTCCAGGGTGCACATTATCTGGGGAGTGAAGAGAAGTGACAGAGAAGTGGTGATGTGCGGTGGAGTCGGTTCCGACTCATAGTGACCCTGCATAGGGTTTCCGAGGCTATACATCTTTGCAGGATCAGGAAGTCTCATCTTTCTCCCATGTAATGGCTGGTAATTTTGAACTGCTGACCCTGAGATTAGCAGTCCGACTCATAACCACTAGGCTATTAGAGCTCCTGGACAGAGAAGTAGATGTATAATAAACAAAGCAGCCCTCTTCATGAGGCAAATTTTAACTGCACATCATTCAGGCTGCAGAGGTGTGGCATCCCCAGGAAAGGATGCGCCTATTTAACCACTTAGCAGACTTACCCTGGGTCCTTGAGTTCGAGCTATGCTCAACTGCCCCCTTGATGTTCAGTGAAAATATATCAGAATCTACCTAGAACAGTTTCCTGAACAGATAATATTCACTCCATAGTTTCAGCCTTAGACAGGAAATGTTTTTAAAGACTGGGACTAGTTGTTGGTGGTTGGATGCCATCAAGTTGGTCCCGACTCTTAGAGACCCTGCATAGGGTTTCCAAGGCTGTAAATCTTAATGGAAGCAGAAAGCCTCATCTTTCTCCCATGGAATGACTGGTAAATTTGAACTACTGACCTTGCAGTTAGCAGTCCAGCATGGAACCACTACACTTCCAGGACTATAAAAAGTGGAGTTGCGTAAGTACATATTTCTATTCCCACAAGTTCCATGCTCATCTTTTAGTCTTGGTAGAGAGAGAGAGAAAAAAAACTTCTAACAGAAGAATTTAATCCTATTTTATAGAGGGATAAATAGAGGTTCAATGAATCATGGAAAGTCACACGTAGGTCAGTGGAAGAACTGGAGAGAATTTGTAGTCTCTTTGATTCGTGGTCACTTTGCTTTTGCTACACCATAATAGTCCTCCTCACCCTAAGGAAGAGTTAAATTGAACACTTGCTCAATAGCATACCACCTTCCTCTTACAGATATGAAGATGAAATCAATAAGCGTACAGCTGCTGAGAATGAGTTTGTAGCTCTGAAGAAGGTAAGTGGAGATGCCTCTCCATGGAAAAGATTCTAAATGGGACATTGAAGTGGGGTGGCATAACTCTTAGACCATTCAAGAAAAGTCAGGTCAACCTTGAGAATATCTGGAGAACTCACCCCTACTGAAATGCTCCCTTTGTATTCATGGCTCCACTGGCCCAAGGAATTCGAGTTCCCAGGAGTCAGTGTATCACCCACCCCTCCAACCCCTCCAAATAGAGTTGGTTAAAAAAGCAACCCAGGAGCCCAGAAAGAAGTTTTCTCAGCTTCCTTTGAGCACTCTGCTTGGTGGGAGGGTCTCAGAGGAGAATCCTGTGCTGTCGTTCCAGGATGTGGATGGTGCCTACATGAACAAGGTGGAGCTGGAGGCCAAGGTCAACTCTCTGACTGATGAGATCAACTTCTTCAGGATGCTATATGAGGCAGTAAGAGTCTGCAAATATTTGTGTTTCTCCTAGGTTTGGAGCTTAGAAAGAAATGGATGCTTCAGAAAGTGTCACTCAGTACCTCTACCTGGTGCTATGGCCCAAATATTCCAGTCTGAGGCTTTGAGGGTAGTGGGGATTGGAGATATTGCTTGAAACCACATGAAACCTCACCCCATGGCAGAACAACCCTTAGCAAGGAGGGGCACGCTGATTCTCAAATTGCAGGTCCCAGGTGAAGCATTATAAAAGATTTCCTGCCTTTTCTCTTCCTTTCCCAGAAAATCTCAGAAAGGTCAGCTGCCCCTTAATCCATTGGCCAGGTGCTTCTTGTCCTCTGAAGATGCCCTGCTCTGACACTGCCTCTCTGAAGGCAGAGAACGCGGTCTGTGGGAAGGGAGAGAAAGAGAGAGTGGTGAAATCACAATCTGCAGGGGCCACAGGGTCCTAAAACCACTAAATCCTACTATGCTGTATAGCATAGAACAGCATATGCTATATTTAACTTGAATACATAGGACACTTACCAGCCTTCACACCAGGGAAGCCCATAGATGGGTACTGTAAAAAACAATCTTGAGCGATCACTCCCATCACATTGCTATGGGACAGAACCTTCCTGGGACACTCTGAATATCAGTGAGTGTATGAGGAAGAGCTGGAGAGAACCTGCTAGGAATACTAAACAAAGAATTCCTGACCTAGTGGGCAGTCAGCTGTGGCTGTGTGATCTCAAGAGCCCTTCAGTTCAGAAGTTGTAAGTCTCAGTGATGCTGAGTTTACTGCATCTCTAGGAGCTGTCTCAGATGCAGAATCAGGTCAGTGATACCTCCGTGGTCCTGTCCATGGACAACAACCGCAGCCTGGACCTGGACAGCATCATTGCTGAGGTCAAAGCGCAGTATGAGGACATCGCCAACCGCAGTCGGGCTGAGGCTGAGTCCTGGTACCAGACCAAGGTGAGTGTGGGCATCTCCGTGATAAGTTTCAGGTCTGGTGTTCTCTGTTGCCTCATATCTTTATTAACCTCTTGGCCACAAGCCTCAGGGAGCACGTGAACACTTCCATTTATTTCAACATGGTGAAAACTTCTTAGGTTCTATGAAATACATGTGGATACCTCATCACTCATACTAATATGCATCTCCACCAACCCCATATTACTTAGGCTCTGAATGAGACTTCAGAATAACCAAGCAACAGTCATAAGACAATTACCCAATAGTCTATATACTCACTATATATTTACTGGGCCATGACTACATGCCAGTCAGAGGTATAGAGTTATGACTGAATATACTGCAGAGAACCCAAGCTCTAGGAGGCCATGAAGTGATTGGACAATCATGGAAAGAAAAAAATATGACATTAATAAAAACCTTCCAGGAAAAGGTGGGATTTTCAATTCATTTGGAAGCAGTGGGAACAAAAGATTGCCAAGATGATGAAGGTACTTAAGACTTCCTGTGGGGCTGGAAGACAGGATTGAGCACTTGGCCATCTAAGAGAGCCAGTATAGAGAAGAGGAAGAGGGAGGTTGGAATAGCCATACAGAGCTACTAACCCAAGGCTCAGATGGCCAGAAGGAGGTTTGGCTTTGGAGGGGTATAGATTGAACAATCCAATCCAGACCCTTATAGGGCAGTTGCTCACTCAGCCCTTACAAGTGGCTCTTGTCGGATGCCTTGCCCTGTGTACTCTTTCTGTCCCTTCTGGTCAAAAGTATAGTGGACAGGAACCAGGGGGTCTGGTGTCAGTTCTCCACACCACAGAGGCAGCCCCTTGACAGTAAGGGTGTGAAAGACTTTAACCACAAGGTAAAGTGGTTTGAATTGATAGTGAACAATTTCTGCATGGTTGTGGCGATTGTGCCTTTTAATTGTGTTTGTCTGGGTACAGAGGAATCTATGCTATTCAGCATTTCAAAAATGGACAGATCTTAGCTCAGGCAAGGCTTCATCTTCAGCTGAAAAAGTATGTGTACCACTTCAGTCTACTAGAGGAAATGGGTCCTAAAGTATTGTGTCCCAGATATACACCAGTAAAAAGGAACCAGAGATACCTGAAAGCCACACATGTGCCTTTTACATCCTCTGCAACATTCAACACTACTTACCCCATCTCCTCCCCAGTTCTCCAGAATTGATGTTTGAAGGAAGGTCCATCAAAATTCATGGTTACTATTGATCTGGACACATACCCCACAACCAGAGCCTTCCCAGAGACAGTGACCAAGTCATCTTCTCACTCCTGGAACTTGCCATGTTTCTTCCTCCCCAGGGTCTTTACAGGCTATGTCCTCTGTCTGGCAAGCTCCCACCCCTACCAGCACCCACTCTCCTACAATAGCTGTTGCTTATGGCATTCTTTCCCAAGCTCCAGATCACAGCTCAGGCAACTCCAGCTCCAGAAAGACTTCCCAAATCTAGATCAGAAGATTTACTCTACACTCTTCTAGGACCTTGTTCATTTCCAAAGGGTCACTTATCTCAGTTTGGAATTACAAATTTAATCATATGCCAATTTGGTTACTGTCTATCTCCCCATTAACTGTAAACTTCAGGGGAGCAGAGGCCTGGTTTGCTCATTGTGGTGTCCCCAGAGCCAGTACATGTCTGGCAAGATGTGCTCAAAGAGCGTCACCTAAGGAAATAAGTGAGGAAGTGAATGCTCAGAGGGTGAATGTCCTGCTTGTGGCACGTAGGGCCACAGTGTGTACATTAGGAGCACCGGGGTAGGTGTTTGACTCAATGACTGAGTCTGCTTTGATTCCATCAGTATGAGGAGCTACAGGTCACAGCTGGAAGACATGGTGATGACCTCCGCAACACCAAGCATGAGATCTCCGAGATGAACAGGATGATCCAGAGGCTGAGAGCTGAGATCGACAGCATCAAGAAGCAGGTAAAGGTTTGGCTGAGTCAAGGGTTCCCCACACACTTATTCCTTAGGTCATTCTTCCATGCATACAGAACTCCTATCCCAAAGCATCAAATATGCAGGAGCTGTCAAAGGAAAACCCAGGTAGGGTTCATGGCTTCCTCATGCCCTTGCAGTGTGCCAGCTTACAAACAGCCATTGCCGATGCAGAACAGCGTGGAGAATTGGCCCTCAAGGATGCACGAGCCAAGCTGGTGGACCTTGAGGATGCCCTGCAGAAGGCCAAGCAGGACATGGCCCGGCTACTGCGCGAGTACCAGGAGCTGATGAATGTCAAGTTGGCCCTGGATGTGGAGATCGCCACCTACAGGAAGCTGCTGGAGGGCGAGGAGTGCAGGTGAGGGCAGATGTACTAATGCCAGCCTCAAAGCAAGTTGAGCTCACCCAGCTATCTGGACATTCTTAGGAGCTCAGATTGATGCAGCTCTCTGCTCACTTGGAAAAGAAAGTCAATACAGGTAGAACTGGACTATAGCAAATAATATGACAAAGATTGCTTTCAGGCCAGTAAATCATTATGGATTCCTGTATTGGAGATGCAACTACTTTTAGCACCGATAGAGAAAAAAGAGGAAGACCCCCAGCGAGATGGATTGGCACTGTGGCAGCAGCAGTGGGCTTAACAACAATTGTGAGGATGGCACAGGACTGGGAGGTGTTTTGTTCGGTTGTGCATAAGGTCACTATGAGTCAGGATTGACTCAGTGGCACTTAACAACAAATAGAAAATCAGGATCTGATCATGTCTAAGTAATCAAATCAAATTGTTACATGACCGGTCTGGGGCCTGGGGTCTAAAGGCTCCAAACTGAAAATAAACTGCCCTAATTTGGAACTGAATGGTTTACTTCTAATAGCTACCTGACCTTGGGGAAGGCAGTACCCCTCTCTGGATTTCAGCTTCTTCGCTGACAGAATGAGGGGGGCTTATCACAGGGCCTCCGAAGCTCAGTATGAACTTTGTGCTCTGCCAGTTACCAATTACTAAATTTCTCTGTTTACTAGATTACTAACTACCTGTGTTCTCACCTACAAAAAGAGGATAATAAAAGTTTAACTAAGTAAAGTACACTGAAGTTCTTAGAATAATCCCTGGCATCAAACAAGTGCTCGATAAATGTTACCTGTCATTCAGTTTAGTAATCAAAGACATAGACTTGCAATCAAATGAACCTGACTTCTAATCCAGCTTTGTCACTGTGAGCAAGTTAGTTAACCTCTCTAAGCCTCAATTTCTCCATTTGTAAAACTGAGATAATGGTACCTATCTAATGGGGTTGTTGAAAGACTTAAGTGACAGAGTGTAAGTAATAGGTAGTCCATAAATGCTAGCTCTTTTTAGTGTTCTAAATATGCATTTATGAATGAATACTAGTTGAGACCTCAAGATAGTTGTGCAAAATTACTCAAGCTGCTAAAATAATAAAAGACTGATTATTGCTATTATTATTTTTATGACTCAGACACCTCTCCACACCTCTATAATATATAAAATCCCTCGTGCTGGTCCAGTGCATGACAATGGTCCATTGTTGAGAGAGAAATCTACTTGCTATGTGACAAGCCCCACATTTCCAATTGACGTCAATGTATGATTGGTTTTAATTTCCTTAAAATGTGATCTGAGATGACAGGTTTTACTTCTATGTATCTCAAATGCCATATTATTTTATTAATTAGATTATTATTTTCAATACTACTAGTATTTAAATAACATCAACCTGCACTACTTCTGCAATAAAAATAATAAAGCATTTTAAATGCTTTTAAATTGTTCTCAGTCACAAAAATGCCATTTCAAATTCCTGTAAGCAGATGGACATGATAGTAACTTTCCTTTTCCCCCCTCCTCCCAACCAGGCTCAGTGGAGAGGGTGTTTCTCCAGTGAACATCTGTGAGTATGAAATCATTCATGGGTCATTTGGCGTGCATGTGGTTGGGGGGACGGTGAGAAGATGGGCACACAGGAAGGTGGGAACATGAGCTCTTAGAGGGGATCCTACAAAAAGGGTTCATTTTGAGACGGTCTTAGATTTTGAATTCATTAAAGAGAGCTCTGTAGGATAACCACCAGTTGGTTCCTTGGGAACCTTATACAGGTCACTATGAGTCGGAACCAAGATGACTGCACTTAACAACAACAACATAGTAAGGGAGAGTCATGGCACAATTCTTACCTCTTTGTAAGTGAGACATCACAGAAGTAGGCAATGGGAGGATTGCACTAATTACTTGGCATGGACTTACAAGACTCATGGGACATGCTTCCAATCTCCCAGGATTCCACGCCTTTCTTGCTGGGATTGCCTGTCTAACTAAGAGAGGAGCTTTCAATGTAGAGAGAATTTATGAGCTATCCTGATCTGCCTTCAGCCTTTGGAAGGAGCCTTTCTCTAGACACAGAGCATGGAACCCCACTGCCTGGCTTCCCACTGTAGAGTACAAGTACAGAAAGTCCCCTGTGGGTTCCCAAGGCAGCTGGTCAGTTACTCTGAAACAGGAGAGGAATTTCGGAACATTAACAAGCTGATGCAGGTCGGGGCCAATAAGAGCAAAGCCATCACAGAGGTTAGTAATGGTCATGAAGCCAACAGAAATGACTTTCACAACCTACACTCTCCACGTGAGTTGCATTTCCTTTATGGAGAATTCAAGATTAGTTAATATTTCTAGAAGACAAAGTCCTCTGAACCACTAAGTATTCTCCTTTCTTGAAATCCTTGTTTAGTGGTTTCAAAGACACTTAAAGCTAATTTTGATACTGCATGGAAGAACCTCTGAGGCTTCCTTTCTATTGAAAGCACCTAAGAGTCCATCTTTTAATTTCAATGTTCCTTTCACTGAGTGCAAAGTAAGGTACTAGAATGTTTAAGGTAATGAGTACTTATAAGTTAAGAACAGGCAGAGAGGGACAAAAAGAGTTGACTAGCCAATGGACTCATCTGAAAATCAGTCTATCAAAAATATCCAGAGGCTCAGAGCGTCAGAGTATGCAGGCTGGGAGATACCAAGGAAAGAACATGAGTGCCCCCGCTAGAAGCCCCCAGAATTAAGGAAGACACCAGAGCAAAGCCCAGAGAGGGAGGTAGGGACAGAAATAGCAGCAGGGAAGAGTGAGACAGGCTCAAGAGGAAGGCAAGTGGACTGGGACAGCTTCCAGGAGGAGAGAGATGATCAGGGAGGTCTGAAGAAGAAGAGTCACTGAGCAGCAGAAGTCATTCCAGTTTAGAAAATGTCCAGCTGGGGAAATGAGCTGAGGCAGAAGGCAGTGATCTCACTAAGCGGGAGGGGAAGGCTAAAAGGAAACATACAGCTACCTGAAACCACCCTCCATTCCAAGTACCACAGGGTACAGGCCCTGACAGCCCCTGGTGTCTCCTCTCCTGCTCTTGGTTCTGACATGTCCACTCTCTTCCTGTAGCTGTGGTCACCAACACTGTTTCCAGTGGCTATGGCAGTGGCAGCGGCATTGGAGGAGGAAACCTGGGCCTCGGTGGGAGCAGCAGCTATTCCTTTACCACTAGCGGTGGGCACAGCCTGGGTACAGGGCTCAGGGGATCTGGCTTTAGTGCCAGTAGCAGCCGGGGTCTAGGGGGCAGTGGCTCAAGTGTCAAGTTTGTCTCTACCACATCCTCCAGCAGGAAAAGCTACAAACACTAAGTGCAGCTACTCCCCCTGTCTCACTGTGCCCTGGACAGCTAGGTCCTTCTCCTTGTTTCCTCCATAGGCCCATCTGTGTGGCCAGGAGACCTAGAGGCCCTACTATCTCCCATTCCCTGGCCTCTGCCCCTCTAAGAGTCTACAGACCACTCAGGGTCCCCTTCTGTGTTCTAGACACACAAAGTCAAATCCCACTTGCACATCAGCTAATCTTGCAACCAGGCATTCTTGCAATGTCTCCCTCCTTCCTCCTCCAGATGTGGAAATGGGGGAGACTCTGTCTCCAAGGCCATCTCAATGCCATGTTGTCAGCCAGCCTGGCTCACAGTGCTTATAAGCTACCTACTGGAAGGGGTGCTCCCTTCATCCCCTCCCTGGAATGTGTCTATTAAAATGCATGTGTAATGTATTTTGGCTCCGGTTCTTTGTTTGCAATGGTGAGGAACACGGAGTGATTTTCCTCCTCCTGGCCTCCTCCCAGCACATGGAGTCACACAAGGAGAACTCAGAACACATCAGACCATTTTCCTTCCTTCACCTTCATCAGAGTCAAGATTGGGAAGAGGGGAGGGACTGGTGCAGAAGTTTTGGGTGGGTGACGCCAGACAGCCTGCCCTCATCTCTGCCCACTTCTTGCTACCTCGTTTTGGGATGCCTTGTTTGGGAAGCCCTTGGGCAGAAACCCTGCCTATCCTCCTCACTCTATATGTCATGAAGGGCGATGCTGTCCCCTCCCAAAACCAGACTGCTCCAGGGACACTGACGCAGGGTGGGCGGCCCTGCCCTCCGCCAGCAAAGAGGCTGATTGTTCCCTGACAGTTTCAAACTTGCAGACAAGAGCAGAGAAATAACAGGCCACTGAGCAGAGTTAAAAGTCAGCCCTAGGGGCAATGCTTTCACAGTGCAAGGAGCCATTTAGGCCCATAATTGTGGATAGCAGTGAGACATCCAGGAAGCTACCACATCCCTGAATTTACAAGCCTCCTGGACCCCTCTCATCAGGCCTGAGCCCAGAGCAGCACAGAGGGGACCCCCAGAATGAAGAAGCTGTTGTTGTGGGGGTTGGAGAGGCTGAGTTCAGTACTCAGAAAGGCTCAACACTGAAGGGAGCTATAAGACAGGAATCTGAAAAACAACTTCCCAGAGAAAACAGCAGAGCATTAAATGACAAGGAAGGGAGAAACCATGAATCAGGAAGAGAGGCATGAGTGTAAAGCCAAGGGGGTAGAATCTGGAATGGTTGCGAGGGGGAATGCAGTAGGAAGAAAAGAGAAATGACAGTGAAGACAACTGTTAAATGCCCCCAGCCCCATCATGGTGGGCAAGTTAAGATGTGGGGAGGAAAAAGTGGGGGAAGAGACATACAAGACTTGTGGAGGGGACAAGAGTTTGACCACCTGTGTTCTAATGTCCACTTCAACATTTACTAACCCTGTGGACTTAGACAAGTCTCTACTACAGTGTGCCACAATTCCTTTATGACAAAAAAACAAAAACCACAAAACAAGAGTAATACTAGCAGCTGCCCCATGGTATTGGGTACAGATTAAATAAGAAGACAGGGGTAAAGCAGCTACATATAATGCTATTGTTAGTTACTGTCTAGTGGGTTCTGACTCATGGCGACTCCAAATTTCCCAGAGTAAAATTCCTCCATGGGTATTTCTTGACTGTAATCTCAATGAAAGTGGATTGATAGGGTTTTCCTCCTGCAATACCACAGGGTGGATTTGAACCACCAACCTTTAGGTTATCAGTGAAGCATAAACTGTTTGTGCTGCCTGGTGACCTTGAAAGCAGCTGCCATCATACCCACTGCCCATACCCACTGCCATCAAATAAATTCTTACTCATAGCGACCCTATACACAGAGAAGAATTGTTCCATAGGATTTCTGAAACTGTAATTCTTTATGGGAGTAGACAGCCTCATCTTTCTCCCTCAGAATAACTGGTGGGTTTGAACCACCAACCTTGTGGTTAACAGTCCAATGTTTAATCCACTGCACCATCAATGTTTCTTGCTACTCAAGACAGATGCTGAATAAATGTTGACAATTATTAACTATTCCTACCATCTACCCTCACAAAGTTATTATAAGAATTAAATAAAACAATGCTTTGTGATTTATCTGGTATGTGCTCTGGCACAAATTTAATCCTCAACAAATGAAATTTTTACTATCACTATTACTAGTATTCCAAGTGACTAGGTTAAGTGCTTGGAGTCCTGGTGTGGTGCTGCAGGATAAAATACTGCACCTCAAGTCGGTTTGAACTGCTAGGTCAGCAGTTCAAACCCACCAGTCGCTCCTCAAGAACCCTATGCAGGGTCGCTATGAGTAAGAACTGACTTGATGGCACTTAACAACAAGTTAAGTGCTTTGTTTCCAAGACCTGTGCATGGTGAGGGGAGGGGCAGATGGGGGTGGTGGTGGTGTCAGTGGTATGTGGCCAAGAATCTGGGTAGGTCGGGGGTTCGGGAACCCAGGTCTTCTCCAGGCCTGGTCCTGCCCTGGATAGGGTGTTCCCCACCATGATTATTGGGGCAGGAAGATGGGCTGTGGCCAGACATGCCATAGAGATGAACTCAACAGAGTGGTCTTTGATCTTCTCCAGCCAAACCCAGTTCTTGAAAGGGATAAAAGGAGTATTTGAAAGAGCTCCACTTTGAACAATCCTCATTCCTTTGACATTCTCATTCCTCTGATCCTCTTGCACCAGCTCCCACCATGACCCAACGGTCCTCTGTCACCATCAAGTCAGGGGGCACCCGAAACTTCAGTGCTTCCTCAGCCAGCCTCCTCCCTGGCTGCCGGACCAGCTTCAGCTCTGTCTCCGTGTCTCAAGGCGGGAAGAGCTTCGGGGGTGGCCTTGGAGGTGGTTTTGGGACCAGGAGCCTCCACAGTCTTGCAGGTGGCAAGAGAATCTCCATTGGTGGGGGTTACCGTTCCAGCCGGGCCAGCTGTGGTATTGGCTATGGGATGGGTCTTGGAAGCGTTGGGTACAGAATGGGGGGAGCCTGCAGTGGATATGGATTTGGAGGTGGGATGTCATCTGGAGCTGGGGGCATCCATGAGGTTACAGTCAACCAGAGTCTCCTGACCCCCCTCCACCTGGAGTTTGATCCCTCTCTTCAGAGAGTACGGAAGGAAGAGAAAGAGCAGATTAAGACTCTCAACAATAAATTCGCCTCCTTCATCGACAAGGTGAGATCCTGGGAACTGGAAAGCTTGCCAATGGAGTGGAGGGTTTGAGTAGGAAAAGATCTGACCCACCACAAGGACACCACTCTTTTAATGAAGAGTGAGGAGTGGCTAAAAATTAAACAGAGGAAGGGGATGAGTTTGGAGAAAGGGGGGTGAAGGAAGGAAATGTTAAAAGCTAAATTCATGGATGTGATCTGGGGTCACTTTTTATTGCCCTGTATAATTGAAGCAGGTTTCTTCCTAAGGCATAGGTATTTTCCAAGTGATTTGGGTATGCTTGGGAGCTGAGTAATCAGTGAGGGGTGTATTTAAACCATTTTTCACCTTTCTTGCTATAAGAGGAAAGTTATGACTTCAGCCCTTTACCCCACCCCACTGCCTTGTGGCCTGGAACCTTAGAGATTTCCTCAGCTCTGGAAGAGACAACCTCCATGAAACACTCTATTTTGCATTACCACTGCCACATACCTGAACTGGCTGTTTTTATCTGGGAAGAAGCAATGTAAGGATCTGGCTAATTCAGGCTCCATGCCTAGCATTAGAGAAAGAATGGTAAACTAAGAGGCAACCAGTTTGATTGCTGGGAGAGTCAACCAACTTCTCAAGCCTCATTTAGGTTGGACAGATGAATTCTAAGATCCTTTGGCAAGTTTATCAGGCTATGATATGTGGACCCAAGTCACTGACTATTTAGACCTAACCAAAGAGACTGCTGAGGTAGTGGTTCCTAAATTTGATTATATATGTCACTCTTGTTGTTGTTAAATGCTGTAGAGTTGGTTCCGACCCATAGTGACCCTGTATAGGGTTTCTGAGGAGTGATTGGTGAGCTTGAATTGCTGACTTTGCGGTTCAAACCGACTTGGCAGTCCAGTGCGTTAACCCTACTCAACACCTGCACCAACAGAGTTGAGATTCCAACAGAGGATGAAGGAAATACTATGGCCCTGATTTTCTTTGGTTCATCTGGATGGGATGTGGAGATTGAGGGGATATGTATGACTAGGGGGAACTTGGTGTCAAGAGTTTCCAATTCTATGCTGATAAGCAGAGACCTGGGCCAGGAGGTTCATTTGTTAAAGATCCTCTATCATCATGCTACCACCTCCAAAGACATGAAGGTTCCTACAGACTGGATATCATTCCACCTCCACCCAGTGCAAAGACTTTGTTTAAGGGAAAGTTTATACATATTCCTTAAGACAATCTTCCAGGCTGAGGAGCAGATTAGTATAACTCAAATTAGTAGCATATGATTAGAAGGGACTTGAAAAAGTAGAGAAAGGGAGAGAATTGTCCAAGGCCACACAGCTAGTAAGGGACATGGCTGGGATTGTGCCTAGATTCTCTGAATGAAACTCCGCAGTGACCCATTCTAGCATTCCTCAAAGTGTGAGCAACTGAGTCCAGATTCTAGAATTGGACTGAACGCATACAGCATGGCTGAAAAACCATGTAAGAAAGAAATGAGCATATTGGATCTTCTCCCATGAACTTCCTGACCGTTTAATAAGATTATAAACCTTGCCCAGCAATATAATTGTCTTCTTTTCTTAAGCTATGGTATTCAGCATGGTTTAGTGTTTTCAGATGATTTCCAGACCCTTGTATCCTTGGTGCCTCTTCCCCTTCTAAACCTAGCCACTTCTTGTCTCCCAAGACCATTGCACCAACATTTGCTTGCTTTCTACAGTCCAGGCTTCTTCCAGGTTGAGGAAGAAGAGGAGTCTGCCATTTGGCTTTGAGCTTGCAGGAGCTCCCTGCATTGATGGAGGTCCCATACCCCAGAGTCTTCCACAGGTTGCTACACAGAAGCCCTCACATTTTCTTATCTCTGACTGGTACAGGTACGGTTCCTTGAGCAGCAGAACAAAGTCCTGGAAACCAAATGGAGCCTCCTGCAAGATCAGAAAACCACCAAGATCAATATAGAGCCCATGTTTGAAGCCTACATCAACAATCTGAGACGTCAGCTGGAAGGCCTGGGTGGGGAACGGGGAAGGCTGGAGACAGAGCTAAAGAGCATGCAGGACGTGGTGGAGGACTTCAAGAACAAGTAAGTGGATGCTCATCCAGCTCCTGAGCCAGAGCCAGGCCCCAGAGCCCCTTGGGAGGCCAGGGGAGCAGGAGAAGCAGGCTCTGCTCTCCTGAAATACCCACATGTACTTAGAATCTGAAATAGTCAAAGTGAAAAGAGAACTGTGACCCCGGGCTCAAGAATGTGGAGTCTTTGGGAGGAGTTGAGGCCATAGATGATAATCACATTGATACCAAGAGCTTAATACACAAGAATCCTTCAAGATACAGATTAGTAAAGGAATTGACATGACACAAATAACAACTCATAAGTTAAGAATTAAACCCACAGAATATTATTTTCATATTTGTTCAACCATTGCTAGCTGATCATTATGCATCCACTCCAACCTTGACCAAGGGGCAGGGAGACTAAAGAGGAAAGAAACATTTGCTGCCTTCTCCCAGGAACACATACCATTAAACATAATGGTATGCTCCGGCATATTGTTGTTGCTACTGTTAAATGCCTTCAAGTAGGTTCCTACTCATAGTGACCCTGCATAAGGTTTCTGAGGGGTAACTGGTGAGCTTGAACCGCCGACCTTGCAGTTCAAATTGACTTTGCAGTCTCATACTAACCCACACATATAGATACGAGTAATTTATTTTTATCTTCAATTTTCTTGATCTAAAAAAAAAAAAATAAGTAACTCAATAATGTTATTTGTTGTTAAGTGTTGTTGAGTCTGTTCCGACCCATAGCGACCTTGTGTAGGGTTTCTGAGGAGTGGCTGGTGAGCTTGTACCACTGACTTTGCAATTCAAACCAACTATGCAGTCCAACACATTATCCCACAGTACCACATCAGGACTCCAACTCATTAATAAGCTTTAGCTATTATCATGGTGTAACTCTGTAGGATAAGCACTATACTGTTAACAGAAAGGTTGGCAGTACAAAACCATCAGTCATGCTTCAGAAATCCTATACAGGGTCACTGTGACTTGGAACTGACTCGAAGACACTTAACAACAACAATTGTTTATAGATAATAGTAAACGATCAGATTTTAGAGTTACATTATCTAACACGTACACATGTAGCTACTAAAATTTAAGTTAATTAAAATGAAATGAAAACTCATAACAATCCAAAATCTGCAAAAAGAGGTCCAAATGATTAATAATAAAACATCAGAAATGGACAATACACTGAAAGGGAAAAGAAGTAGAACTGAAGAGATAGAAGCCAGAACTAGCAAGCTTGAAGACAAATAAATCAACACTGCTAAGAGAGAAAAGCAAGCAGAAAAAAAAGTATAAAAATCTGAAGCAAGACTAAGATTCATGTGGGACAATATGAAGAGGAATAATCTGACAGTTATTGGAGTCCCAGAACAGGAGGGATCTCAGAATACCACAGAGGAGATAGTTGAAGAGCTGCTGGAAGAAAACGTCCCTAACATCTGGAAAGATGGAAGATAAGCATTCGAGAAGCTGAATGAACCGAAGAATAGATGCCAAAAGAAAATTACCAAGACATACAATAATCTAGCTCTCCAAAATCAAAGACAAGGAGAGAAACCTGAAAGCAGCTAGGGAAAAGAGGATTGTTTGTTACCAAGGCAAGCAAATAAGATTGAGCTCTGATCTTTCAGCAGGAATCATGCAAGCAAGAAGGCAATGAGGAGATATATATAAAACCCTGAAAGAAAAAACTGCCAACCAAGAATCGTTTACCCAACAAAGCTATCAATCAAATATGTCGGTATAATAAAAACATTCCAGGATAAACAGAAGCTAAGGGACTTTGTCAAATCCAACTCAGTTCTTGGAAACATCCTAAAAGAAGTTCTTTGGACTGAGAATCAACAAGAACAGACAACAACCAAATATTGACATACGTAACAACACCACCTGGAACTCAGTCGACAGATAGAAAAGTCCAGAACAGAATAAAACTACAAGAACGAATTCAGAGGACCTGGGAGGTCAGTCTATGATCAAAACAATTATAATGTGAAAGAAGGGAAAAATACAGGAACAGAGATCCAGGTGGTGAGGAGGTCAGGTAGATTGCAGGATAAAATAGACTATTTTAAATGGAGGAAAAATTAATAGAATAGAGGGTAACCTCAAAGAAAATTACTATTTCACAACATATCAAGAAAATGAAAACCCAAGAAGAACATGGAAACATTAAAACTATGAAGAAACTGACAAGAAAGAGCACAAAACCCATAAACTCAGCACAGGAAGGCATGCAGAACAAAGAAAACAACAGCACCACAGAAAACAAACATAATGACAGCAATTAATTCATACTTACCGATAATTACACTGAATGTCAATGGACTAAATGCACAAGTTAAGAGACAGAGAGTGGATAAGGAAACAAGATCTTACTATGTGTTGTCTGCAAGAGACACACCTTACACACAAAGACAAAAACAGATTAAGTTTAAGGATGGAAAAAATATACCAATCTAATTGCAATAAAAAATGAGCAGGAGTGGTAATACTGATAAAATTAAAGGAAAACTCAAGCTCATCCGTCACACTAGCCATATTTCAAATGCTCAGTCACCGCATGTGGCCAGTAGGTTTTGTATCGGACATCACAGGTACAGAGAATTTTCATTATCATAGGAAATGTGGGCAGTGCTGTGGAGTCCAAAGCAGTTGCTTCAGACTCTTGGTTCAACTAACCAGTGACTTCAAGAAAACTATTCAACTTCTCTAATCTCCTTCCAGTAAAATGGGTTGTTAATAGTACTTGGAGTTCTGGTGTGGCACAAGCACTGGACCACAAGGTTGGGTTAAACTGAAAGGTTGCAGTTAAAACCCACCAGTCACTCCTCAGAAACCCTATACTGGGTCATTATGAATCAGAACTCTCTCGATGGAACTTAACAATAACAACAATAGTACTTACCTCATAGAGGGGTTGTAAGCATTAAATCAAAACTTGCACATAAAGTTCTTAGTAAGTGTTAGGTAAGGAGCCCTGGTGTGGCAGAGTAGGATAAAGTACTGGACCTCAAGTTTTGTTTGAACCACAGCTTGGTTTGAACCACAAGGTCATGGATTCAAACTCACCAGCCACTCCTTGGAAACCTTATACAGGGTCGCTATGAGTTGGAACAGACTAGATGGCACTTAACAACAACAACTTTTATTGTATTCATGATTAGGCATATGTGTTGTTGTTATTGTAGTTAAGTGCCAGTGAGTTGATTCCAACTCATAGCAACTTGGTATAGGGCTTCCTAGGAGCGAGCTGGTAGGTTTGAACTGACAACTTTTCGGTTAGCATTACAGTGCTTATTCTCCAGCACCACATCAGCACTCTGTATGCCTGTGTTGTGTTGTTGAGGCAGTTGCAACTCATAATGGCCCTGTATATATAGTATTTCTGAGGCTTTACATCTTCACAGGAGCAGAAAGCCTCATCTTTCTCCTGTGGAGCAGCTGGTGGACTCGAATTACAGACCTTGTGATTCACAGTCCAGTGCTTATTGTATGGAGCCATTGCACTCCCATATGTAATGAAACAGAAAACAGAAGTAAATTCAGATGGACAATTTATAATATATATCCAAACATGGAGTAAGAGTGTTTTTGACCAAAGAAGACTTTCTGTTGGAGGAGACTAAATCTCAAGGTTGAAAAGAAGGGAGGGGCAGAAGAATGATAAGGAGGGAACTCAGTTGAAGACTGTTCCCTGATTAATGGACACGTGATGTTCCAGTGACAGGTGTCAAGGAGTTGCCATAGAAGGACTATGAGCTTGGAAATATACATGAGGACAGGTGTGTAAAGCTAGGTGAAGAAACAAATGTCCAGATTTCATAAAAAGGTAACTCATGGAAACAATAAAGAAACCTAACTCAATTCTCCCCTAGAAGGTGGAAGAAGGCACAGTGCTGGAAAATCGATGACAGGAAAAACTTTTCTCAGATGCCACTAGACAACAATGGCAAAATGAAAGCAGGGGAGATTCTGGTCACGTATGTGAGCTGTGACAGTATTTTGTGGTTTTAAAAGATGTACACACCATCTCGTAGCTGCAACATAGCCTCAGGGAGATTAAGTAACCTTCCCAAGTTTACTCAGCTGCTAGGCAAAAGAACTAAGGCCCTAACTAGCAATGCCAAACCAGTTGCTCCCAGGTCAACTCTGACTCATGACAACCCCATGTGTGTCAGAGTAGAACTGTGTTCCATAGGACTTTCAGTGGCTGATTTTGTAAAAGTAGGTTGTTGAGCCTTTCTTTTGAAGCACCTCTGGTAGACTTGAGCCTCCAATTTTGGGGTTAACGTCCAACTGTGGTAACTGTTTGTACCACCTAGAAACAGTAATGCTGAAAGGGTGGGTATTGCTGATGCTTAGAAGGACTGTGTGGACAATGGATGCAAGAACAGAAGTGAGGTTGTGGGAAATGGGCTTTTCATCCTAGGATCAAATCCCAGTTTATCCGTAACCAGGTGGAGAAGGCTTCGGCGATGGTAAACACTGCTGTGACTTACTAAGAGCCTTAATTGACCACGTTTTGGCATTATGCCAAGGTAGAGCTGGTTCCTCCAACCCCTGCAGAGATCCCTACAGTTATTCAGAGCCTGAAAAAAAAATTAGTCGATAGTGCTAAAACTGGTCGCTTCAAACAGCTCACAGTTAAGGAAGCTCTGCTGAGTGGTTTGGTAGTCACTGAGGTGTGGATGTGGTTTTATATAGGCGAGATCATAGGCAAGCATGGGCATCATTGGCTATGATGTTTGAAGACCAATCTTTATCCTCTGATTATATTTGGTTTGCTATTTGTTCTTGGACCATATATGATAAGACTGTTATCTGAATAAAACAGACAACGATGGAAAAAAAAAAAAAAAAGAATAGAAGTGAAACTTCTTTCCCAGAGTTGAATTAAGAGGGCAACACTTGCACGAGCCCCTGGGAAGCAGAAGGAGAGGAGAATGCTGCCCAGGGGATAACTGAAGAATGAGAAATCCATGTCCAATCAACCTGAAGACAACTTTTTAGACCACAGTCAAGCATGGCTGAGATGAATAGAACATGAGAGATTCTTGGGGAGCAGGAGTCAGGCCAGAGCCTAGAAGCCACCCTCCTCACTGCCTGTTTGCGCTAGGACAAAACCATGAAAACAATTAAAAGAATAAAATATCTTTTACACCTCAGAGGGGAAGCATGCATACAGGTGCCTTCATGGAGCCCAAGTCCTCTAGGACCAAAGCTGTGAGAAAAGAAGTTGCAGAAGGAGAAAGTTGGTTCTATTTGATTGCTGCTTACTTTGTTTTGAGAAGGGTGGTTATATTTGGAATTGGGGGCTGAGGGGGAGCATATTTGTAACCCAAAAGCTATGCTATAGTAAAGCATTTTCCAGATCTGCTCTGGAGAAGCCCATTGCCTGCCCATCTACAACCCTCACTGTCCTGCCTCACTCCCAGAACACCAACTGACTCTTGGTTCTGCCAACAGATACGAAGAAGAAATCAACAGACGCACAGCAGCGGAGAATGAGTTTGTGGTGCTCAAGAAGGTGAGGTGTTTGAGTTTGTGGTGCTCAAGAAGGCACTCCCCTGACTCCCAGGCCTAAGCTGTTCCTTAAGTAGTAATAACTGCCACTATGCCAGTGGCCTAGGGTCAGCACTGGACTATGAACCACCTGAGCAACAGTTCAAGCCCACCCTTCATAGGGTCACTACGATTCGGAACCAATTTGACAGCACTTAACAACAACAACGCCAATGGCCTTATTTATTTATATAGTTGACCTTGAAAGCAAGTTTTGGTTTAAAAGTGAGAAAACTGAGGCTCAGGATGGTTAAGTAAGTTGCCCAAGAAATCATTATACCAACTCCTGACCCCTCTGAAGCCCTAGGCAGAGAAATGGGGAGAGAAACAGGCCTTGTTTTGAGCAGAGGTTTTAGGAGGACAGGATCCATTTCACAGAGTTCTGGATCTCCCAGCTTAGTGGGGAAAAGCAGAAAAAGCTAAGTTGAAGGAGGAGAATGGAGGAACAGGGTATGAAGGAGAGGGAGTGGTAGGGAGTAGGAGGAAAAGAGGAAGCCAGAGCAAGCTTTAGGGAGAGGTTGAAGAGCCCAGAGACAGTGGAGAATCAAGGTCTAAGACAGAAATTGGCCTCATCTTCCAGAGGTGGCATAGGAGACTTTCATCCCTGGGACCAACTGATGAGCAAAATGGGCATTCCCTTGGAGCCCGGGGCCTCACACAATTTAGACCTCCCACCAAGCTCCACTCTTTGGTGTTGGTGTTGGTGTTGGTGGTTGTGTGCCACAGAATCGATTCCGACTGGTAGAATCAAACTACTGACTTTGTGATTAGCAGTTCAGCTTGTAATCCACTCTAGTATCAGGGCTCCTTAAGGCTCATTCCATAGCCTAGAATAAAGATAACCCCTTGTCGCCACGATTAAAGGTTCTTCCATGTAACTCACTATCTAAGGGGACTGATAAGGAAGGGTGAAGCTCAGGGTGACAGTGTGTTCTGTACCCCAGGATGTGGATGCTGCCTACATGAACAAGGTGGAGCTGGAGGCCAAGGTGGATGCCCTGACTGATGAGATCAACTTCCTGCGGGCCTTCTATGAAGCGGTGAGAAATGCTTGGACTTACTCCCAGGAAGTCTGGTGGCTGGTGTGCCTCAGATGGGCACAGAGACCAGTGGATCCTTCCCTGATCTCTCTGCTCCTTAACCCAGACCTGCATTGGAACTCAAGGGGGAGATGTTGCTCCCTTGCCAAAGGAGAAAATGAGGTTCCCTGGGGCAGGGGTGATATTCAGCCCTTGACTACTTGGACCACGATTGTTCTGTTGTCAGACAAAAGAAGAGCTTGTTTTCACTGAAATATGCTGTTCTCCAGAGGACTATCTGGAACTTGACTCCTCTGACTCAGCCCAATTTACTTGTGGCTCTTTCTACAGCTGTAGCAGGATGCAAATACATAAATTCAATAGTAATTAGTGAGCCCTCGGGTAGCTCTAGAAATATACAACTCAATTGCGTGGGTCTGGGTTGTACACAAATTTTGCATTTCTAGCAAGTTCCTAAGAGGTGCTGATGTAACTGGTCCAAGGATCACATTTTGAGAACCTTTATTTTAGATGATTCTGAAAAGTAATCATTAACAAATTAATTATGGGTTACTGTTTCAAAAATAATCTTATACAGCATTGATTTAATTAATCCTCACAAAGAGCCTAACAGACCAGTATTGTGATTACCCCCTCTAAGACTCAGAGGTGTTATGCAACTTGCCTGGCAGATTCATGACTTGAATTTTTCAGGCTGGCGCCCTTTCTGCTTTACAGTTTTGAGCTGATTTTCATTTCCCATGCCCAAGAAGCAGGGAGACATCACATTGGGAAGCAGTAGTGGGAAGAGGCGGATCTTTTGAGCTCCTTCTGACTCAGTTGTCTTTCACAAGATGATTTCTTTATTTGGTGGGAAAAGCTGTAGATTCCCAGAACATGAAACATCGCAGTACTGACAGGTCACAACAAAGTGCCTTCCCTTGACAACAGGAGAATTCTGGATAATTCTGGATAATTCTGGCATTACCTGTGCTGCAACTCCCTGTGAGGAAATGAATGAATGAAACAGAACAGGCATAAACTCAGTGATCTCCCTAATGTCTTTTTTGACCAAGGCAGTGCAAGTAAGCCCTCCATGTCAGGATCTGCCCGGAGGTCAGGGCACAGTCTCCCAGCATCCACACCCCCACACCCTCTGCTCACTCTCCCATTGTGCCCAATTACAGGAGCTGGCTCAGCTTCAGGCTCAGATCTCTGAGACCTCTGTGGTTCTGTCTATGGACAACAACCGCTGCCTGGACCTGGACAGTATCATCTCTGAGGTCAAAGCTCAGTATGAGGACATTGCCAACCGCAGCCGGGCTGAGGCTGAGTCGTGGTACCAGACCAAGGTGAGTCAAGTCAACTCAACAGGCCCAGAGCACTAAGTCTGAGCAAGAACAGAGTTACAAAGATTAACAAGACACAGTTCTTGTCCTCTCCAACCCCTTGGTCTGGTGGGGTTAAAGAGATGTGAGTTGAGATTGGAGTTTACCCTCTGTCTGAGCACCTCCTTGAGGCAGCACCATCAGCACCTGAAGAAATATCCAAAGGAAAATGGGAAGTGGTCAGACCCTCTTCCAGGACGAAGACAAACCTCCAACACCTATAGGAGAATGACCAGGGGCAGCTAGACAGCAGTGGCCATCCTAACCCGCAGGGAGAGACAGAGAGGAAATGGGAAGAGCTAGAGTGGTCAGAGAAGAGAGGTGGATCTGGCTGCCAGGTGAGGAGCAAGGGGACTTCCTATTTGACCAGAAAACAGGGGCAAAGTGTAGCATAGATTACAGAATGAGATTTTCCAAGACAGAGCAAACACTTCGCTCTGAGGAGTCACTGGAAATGGTGAGAGGTGGTACCAAGGAAGACAGTGATGGGCAGTGAGCACCCTGAATGATGCTGAGGACAGACTGGACAGGGAGGACAGACTGGACACAGGAAGAAAGCTGCATACTTCATGATCTTGAACATGGAGAACCAGGGTCAGAGCCAAGAGACAATGCAGAGAATGGCATCTCTGACCTCGGCATTATTATTTTTGGGGGGTGGGGGTGGGGGAGTCAGGGCGAAGAAGTAGTCTTCAATCCCACTTTAAAAGCCTGTTGGAATGTGGTTGCAGCTGAGTTTTGGGGTAGGTGATGGAGATAGCATAACTGTTCTCCAAAATATGATAGGGATGTTTTTAATCTCCTGGAATAGAGGGAGCAGAAGAGAAAGAAAAGAAGTAAGATGCATAAACAACAAAATGGAAAGGGCCAGCAAATTTAAGGAATAAGGTAGATTGTTGTTGTTGTTAAGTGCTGTACAGTCGGTTCCAACCCAGAGCGAGGCTGTATAGGGTTTCTGAAGAGTGCGGGTGAGTTTGAACCATGGATTTCGCGACCAAAGAAGGTCAAACAGACTTTCTTTGATAGAAAGTTTCCATCATTTCTCTCAAACCTTCAAGGAAAGTTAGCTTCACATCCCAAACAAAGAAGTCTATTGGGCCCCGGAAGGCCCCGCCTTCTATCCTGGGCAACCCCACTTCTGCATGGGTCCCTCACACCAGGCCTGCTTCTCCCCGCAGTATGAGGAGCTGCAGCGCTCAGCCGGCCAGCATGGTGATGACCTGCGCACCACCAAGATGGAGATCTCGGAGCTGAACCGTGTGATCCAGAGGCTGCGCGCTGAGATTGAGAACCTCAAGAAGCAGGTAGAGCTGAGCTCATAGGGTCATCCTAACCATGCACCTGCTGCCGCAAAATCTGTGCCTGACCCTAAGTCCATCCATGCAGAAAGAAGCCGTCCCCAAACAGGGACCTCTCAGGATTGTAACTGTATTGTCAGGGGTAATAGGATGTTCTTTCTGAGGTCTGTCTAACCTCAGCGCCTTTAGGAGAGGTGCTGGAGGCATAGGTGGCAAAACCTTGACTTGTTTATTTACCCAGAATCCACAGAAGTTCAGCAATGATAAAGGCCTTAAATTTTTTTTTTTTTTTAATTTCTCCATCCTAGTTACGTCTCAAACTGTCCAAGGTAGATAGTAATCAAGCTTACTTTTAAAGATGATGATCCCCCAACCTCCTCTGGATTAAATCCATTTAAAGAGATTCCTCAGGGGTGTCCCTAAAGCCCACAGTGCATTGCATCCTTTAAATGAGTTCACACATTCCTCTCTTCCTGGCAGTGTGCTGCACTCCAGGCGGCCATTGCTGATGCTGAACAACGTGGAGAACTGGCCCTCAAGGATGCCAAGCACAAGCTGGCCGAGCTGGAGGACGCACTGCAAAAGGCCAAGCAGGACATGGCGCGGATGGTACGCGAGTACCAGGAGCTCATGAACGTCAAGCTGGCCCTGGACATCGAGATCGCCACCTACCGCAAGCTGTTGGAAGGGGAAGAGTGCAGGTGCGCTACTTGGTCCTCCCTCCCCTGGCTTCCACAGAGGCCACAGGAGCACCACTATAGCAGTGCCTAGAGGCCTCGTGGGCCCCATGATGTCAGGCCACTGGATAGGAATTCCAAAGACTGGGTTCCAATGCAGCTGCTCCTACAGCAGTGACTTTCAGTTGCAGCCCCTCTCCCAGCTACTTTCCATCATGTTGGACCCAGGGTAAGGGGTTGGGGCCAAGGATTGGGGAGTGGTACCCATGGCAGCCTGGAAGACCATAAACAAGGCCATTTCTGTCCCACCCTATAACAAAAGGCACCATCATAGGGATGAGTCCCAGGGCCTCATGATTAGTACAGATGCTCTGTAAACTGACAGGTTCACTCTACTTTTCTAGCAACCTTCAACCCATTTATTTCTATTATTTTAACTTGATTTCTTCTAGATTTTCTGCCACATATTCCCATGAGTTTTCTAAGCTAGTGAGGTGACTGAAAAGTGTACTAAGCACTTAGTTGCAGTAAGCACTCTGGGCTGATAGGGTTTTGACAGGAAGAACTCAGGGCTCTATAACTTCTCTGCACTGAAATGTCTCTTTCTCTCCCCCGTTACAACAGACTCACCGGAGAAGGTGTTGGACCTGTGAATATCTGTGAGTAAATGTCTTGGGGTGATAGAAAAGGAGGGTACAATGGCATAATAATATAGCTAATTAGGATTCACTGGCTAGAGAAACACTAAGTTGCAACACCGATGTCGTTAAGACCCTCTGTAACCAGTTGCTGTCGACTCAATTCCTACTCACCACCAAGATGGCGCTCTTGGAGCTGAACCATGTGATCCAGAGTGATCACATATATGTCAGAGTAGAACTATGCTCCAGAGACTTTCAGTGACACAGTTTTGGAAGTAAATCACTAGTCTTTCTTCTGAGGCACCTGTGGGTGGATCAAATTATCAGCCTTTTGGTGAGCTGAGCATACAGTGGTGACTTTTTGCCTCCCATGAGGGAGGCCCAGGTTCAAATTTCGGTCAATGCAGTTCAGGTATACTCCCCATCCATCTGTCAAGGGGGACATGCATATTGTCTTGATGCTGAGTAGGTTTCAGAGGGGAACCCAGACTGAGGCCGACTAGGAAGACCTGGTGAGCTTCTTCTGAAAATTAGCCAGTGTAAACCTTATGGATCACCACAGTCCAGTCCACAAGCGATCATGGGGATGGTGCAAAACAGGCAACATTTTGTTCCCTTGTGTGTAGGATCACCACGAGTCAGGGGCCAATGCAATGGCAGTCAACAACAAAGGCCTCTGTGGAGATCCCCCTCCTCTATTTTTGCCCCTCCTCCCAGTGAGGCCAAGAGAATTTCTCAGAAGTGGGACATTCCATGTCACTAAAAGAGAAGTCAGAATGCAGCTCAATGACTTTTCCCCTCTGTATAGGACAATCTGTCTAGAGAGTGCAGACGTTCCCTCATGCCCAGGGGTGGTCCCAGTGGGGTCTCAGGTCTAGAACCTGTCACCAAAGTATCACAGCTTTGGACCAGGACCACTCAGGGAGCAGTACATCTCCGATCTAAATGCCTTTCTCAGCTGAGATCTAGCAGGAATTCAAACGAACACAAGTCACAAGAATCTACTAGAGTGGTTAAATGGAAAGGCCTACATTTAGATTTTAAACACATTAATTGAGCAGGTAGAGCAGTGAATGGCCTTGCTTGGCCTCAACTCCCAAGGAGGACTCTGGGAGGAATCATCTCACAGAATGACACCACAGGACTCAGGGGCCTGTGAAATAGCTCAGCACTCAGGCAGCATTAACAGGAGCATGAAGTCATGGACAAGAGAAGTAGAATCCCTGTGGGCTCCAAATGGATCAGACAACATTAGGGAAGCCAACATGCCAGGGTGGTGGAAGAACTTGAAACCAGCTAATAAAAGAGACAGGAATAATCACCTGGAGAGAAGGGCCCTGAGGGGGGAGTCAGGGAAACATCTTCCAATGTTTGACAGGCTGTGAAGAGTGGCACCTTGAGGTGAGGAACTCTATGTTGCTGCAAGTATTAGAGCAGGAAGTGAGTGACTGCCTCTTGGTGATAGCAGAAGAGGAATTCCACCTAGGTGATATAGGAGAAGATCTGGGTGGTTATGGGGCTTCTTTCAAGATGGGAGTCTAGGATTCTGTATCAGCATTGGAGCTTAAAGACTGGGTTTCTGGCTTGTGTGATCTTGAACATGCTACTTGGTCTTTTTGTGCCTCCATTGTCTGGGGGGATACTTGGAGGGCTGTTGTAGAAATCAGCATGGTCACAGCTGTGAACAGGTTTTGAAAGTTGTGATGCCCTGTATAGAGGCACATATGAAAGCAGTGAGTCCAGGTCTCCTTCCTTGACCCTGTGGCTCTCAATGGAGATTCCTGGTCTCTGTGGTCCTGAGAGAAGAGAGGGCTGGCCTGAAGCAAGGCCCCTTGAGAAGCGAACAGACATGGCAATGAAGGGCATTCAGCAGGGGAGGTGCATCTTGGGAAATCTGGAAGAACCTGCCAATGTGCCCTGTGACTTCTCTCCGCAGCGGTGGTCTCCTCCTCCGGGGGCACAAGCTACAGTGGGGGCGGAGGTCTCTGTGGGATCAGCAGTGGATACAGCAGTGGCCCCTGCTACAGCGGTGGGAACAGTGGGTTCAGCTCCACCAGCAGCCGCAGCATTGGTGGCAGCAGCTCCAGCATGCGCATCATCTCCAAGACCTCATCCACCAAGAAGAGTTACAGGAGTTAAAGCACCCCACCCACACCCCACCTGCCTCAGCTGCCTTCTGCTAATGCCCCAATGCTTTCCAATCCTGACTTGATGCTCTGCAGATAAAATACATTCACAAAACCAACAGCACTAGGTACAGGGAGCAGGGACAAGACCTAGGAGTTTGAAGATCACCACGCCCATCCCTCTGCCTTCAGCCAGACAGGCCCTCACAGAGTTATGCTATTTGCTCCCGATCTCATAGCCCCCCAGTGTCTAAAGGTATTTGTTCCAACCAGCACTAACTCAAATGCTTCATGTTAGGCTAGGATCTGTAGGGATTCAGAGATAAGAGCAGACTTTGCCCTTAAGAAGCTTCCAGAGTAGAGGTGCAGTTGGCCCTTTTCCTCCTGTCTAACCCAAATCCACTATGACAAGGAGATGATTTATCTTGCTCAGCACTTCATGTTGTTGTTGTTGTTACATGTCATCGAGTCGATTCTGACTCATAGTGACCCTGTATAAAGTTTCCAAGGAGCAGATGGTGGGTTTAAACTGTCAACCTTGTGGTTCACAGTCCTTTGCTGATCTACAGCACCACATCAGAAGTCCCAGTACTTCATGGGAGGGTTTATTAATTACTTTGGTACCCCAAAGTAATTCAATGCAGCCTAGGCCAGACTTTTCCTGTGTGCCATTTCTAACGGCAGGGACAAAATGTCTTTGTAAATAGTGCCACCTGGATTGCCTCCTCTCCTCCTGCTTTCCTGTCCCAGCCCAGGTCCCCAGCCACCTCCCCTGAGAACGCCCACAGCAGAGTACTGGAATGTGAAATCAATAGCCTCTAAAGTATTGCCAACTCTTAATTATTCACATGAGGATGAAATAATTTTATCAAGAATCCCAAAGTTCTCTATGACTTGTGACTGCATTCAACAATATCTCATAGCCAACTTTCTTCCAAATCTGCCTTATTTTAGGAAATATTAAAATTGCTGCCCCTAAACAGAAATGTTCTGATGAGGAGGGAGAAGGAGACAAGCTCCTCCTAAGGTGTGGGGATGGTAGGTCAACGTTAAACGCTTGCAATCCGTGCTTTGGAAAAAGGACTCCAATTAGCCCATATTAAGAATTGCTTTGTGAGACTCCTCCTACAAAAGAATCCTCTAGTCTCAGAGCAATTCACCTTTGCTTTGTGCCATTTCTCTCCTCCTGAAAGTGGACTTTCCTTGCCCTGGCCACCTTCACCCCAATACACTCTTATGTCAACTTTTTCTCAGCCTCCCTTCTTTCTTCTCCTAACTTTGTTTCTCTTTTTTAATTCTTCTCCCAATATATTTGCATATATAGTTCTTGCTGTTTTCCTCCTCTGACCTCTCTTTTTCTAGTTTCTGTCTCTAAAATGGCACTTTTCTGTGCCAAATTGCCTGTACCTAGACCTCGCTAGAACAGAAGCTCTCTATGTTAGAACTTCTAACTCCCTGTGCTATAGGGAAGACCCAAGACAGAAACTTGGAGGAGAGAGGCAGTTCTTTCTTCCTTGAGAAGGCAGAGATAGGATGGGGTGGGATAGGGAAGGAGTGAGATAAGCCCAGGTTGGCCTTCATGGTTTCTCTATATAGTCTGGCCAGTTCGAAACCCTCAAAACACCTGCCATTTAGTCAAGACCAAATGCATTCTGATAATAACTAGAAGACATCTGCCATACCACAGATGTGAAGACAAGAGCGTCAGCGATTTCAGAGGAAAAGTCGCACATGCTTGATCGTCTCAGCCCCTCCCTGCTGACGAGGCAGCCTGCTCCCTTATGCATGCCTACTTCCTGAAATCGCTTCAATAAATGTCACTGAGCTCTCAAGGTGTTGACTGAGTCTGTATCTTGTCTCACACTCAGAGGAAAGCCTTGACGCTGATGGGCTCTGGGAAGTGGTGGCTTCCTCTCATGGGCAATCCTATGAACTGTGCTACCCTGTGCTCTTGAGCTTGGGTCCTGGGCTCCAGGAAGCCCAACATGACCACTGAGACCATCTGTTGGCCTAGATGGGGCAGGAGATGCTCTCACGTGTCCAGAGCTCTCCAAAAAACCTGCCCTCCTAGTTCTTCCCACTATTACGTTCATTCCCTCTGGTGCCTGGTCTGGTCTTGCAACATTAGCATCCAGCACATTGAACACTGTTTACTGGGCCCACCTCTGTGACACTAACTCCAAGGCAGAATGAGAATTCCCTTTCCTGGCATTGGGCAACAGGACACCTCTCACCAACACACACACATAAACCCCCTTGGTCTCTTGTTATACCCCTCACTTTCCTAAAACACTTTCCTAAAACCCTCCCACTACTCTAGCACCCAAAGTCAAGACTAGTAAACAGGCTATTGCTGTGAGGTGCCATTGAATCATTCCCCAGCCCATGGTGACCCTGTGCACCACAGAACACAATACTGCCAGTTTCCATGATCAGTGGTGAGTCAGAATGGCATGATCCATAAGGTATTCATGGGCTGATATTCAGAAGGATATCACCAGGTCTTTCTTTCTAGTCTGTCTTAATAGAAAGCTCACTGAAACCTGAGCAGCAACATAGCAGCACACAACTGAGAATTCCAGAGGTACAAGAAGGGCCTCTTAATTTATCGGAGAGAAAGCTGAGGGACAGAGGTGTCAAAATATATACTGATGGTCCATTCCAATTCTTAACCCAAGCTCCCCCGACACACACACCTCCCCAGAACAGCAAAGTACAGTGAAGTCTGAAAGGATAGAACTGACTCCCAGCCTTATCCCATACAAGCTGTGTGTCTTTAGGAAGTTCTGTTACCACTTTGCTCCTCAGTAATAGTAACAATAGCATGGTGTTGCCATAAGAATTAAATAAGATGATGGATATAAAGGGCTGAGTGTGTTCCCAGCACATAGAAAGCATCCAATAAGTGTTGTCTTGGTCTTGTTATTTTATTAGTTTGATTTTGACCTGAAAAAAAAAAAAAAAAAAATCACTGTGGAAGAAAAAAACCAGCCTGCCACAGCAGAGAGGCCACTGACTGGACTGAACAAGAGGAGATGTAAAGAGAAGTGGGAAGGGACTTCAGACACCTCCACAGAGCTGTGTCTGTGACCTGGGAACTGGGGAGAAGGCCTCTATCTCACATCCACCTGAAAAATTCCTGAGAGCATTGGCGATCCCCAGAGATGTCCTCAGGCTGAGGAGAAAGGGAAAGGGCTGGGGCATGGAACTCCAGAGCTAAGGCTGAAGTTAATGCATACTTTGGATGGTCCCAAAGAGCTTTGGAAAGGAAGAGCGCCCCTTTCTTTTCTCCCCTCAAGTACAAGGCATCTTCTCATGAGTTCCTTCATCTCTTTTTTACTCAATGGTCCCCAGAGAGAAGAGTCAATGCCTGGAGTCTGGCTGCCCTCAGAGTCTTGAAGGGAAATAGGAGAGTTCAGTAAGAGCCAGGACTCCCCTGCCCCTCCTCAGGAAGGATCCAAGGAAGGCTTTTTCCACCCACAAAGCTCTCCCCCCTAGGAACCTCTAGGATCACCTCGGATCCCATGGAGGGCAGTTGGAACTGGAGCATGCTCAGAAAAAAACATAAAAACAGCTTGGGAAAATAGAGCATCCTCACGCCAAACTAATTCGCCCTCTAATCCCAGGATGGTCAAGGTATATAATTCATACTCCTGCCTCCTCCCCTCCCATGAAACAACACAAAGCCCCAACTTTCCCGTTCCTTGAGGCTGAGCCACTGACCCCTTTCAGCACCCCTATAAACAAGGAAGGGGGACAAATAGGATTCTTACAGGACCAGTCAGCTCTGGCCATTGGCTCCTCCTCTTTACTCTTTGCTACCCTAATTATCCACGTTGGTACTTAGCAACTGCCAATATCCCAAGCTTATAAACCTGATTTAATGGTGATTTGGGGTTTGACCCAGCTCAGCCCTCCATCCTCCAGGGAGATAAAAGGGGAAAAGCTGAGCTGTGGCTTGATAATTCGTGCCTCCCATTCTCCCCTGCAGGGCTCCCACCTCCTCCTCTCTCTTCTGCTATGTCTTGCCGTTCCTTCCAGCCAGGCTCTAGATGTGGCAGTCGGAGCTTTAGTTCGTTCACAGCTGTCATCCCCCGGATGGTGACCCACTATGCAGTGAGCAAGGGGCCCTGCCGGCCTGGGGGCGGTGGGGGCCTCCGAGCCCTGGGCTGCCTGAGCTCACGGAGCCTGTGTAATGTGAGCTTTGGAAGGCCCCGGGTTGCTTCTAGGTGCAGCCTGCCTGGTTTCGGGTACCGAGTGGGGATTCCCTGTGGAACTCCTCCCTGCATTGCCCCTGTCACCGTCAATGAGAGCCTGCTGGTACCACTCGAGCTGGAGATTGACCCAAGTGTGCAGAAAGTGAAGAGGGATGAGAAGGAACAGATCAAGTGTCTCAACAACCGCTTTGCATCCTTCATCAACAAGGTAAGAGACCAAGTGGTTCAGGACCATAAGATGAGAACCATTACAGGGAACATGGTGTCTCGTCTAGGGGGAGCAGGAAGACATTGACAACTGAGAAGCCATGGTTTATTCATTGGCTGCTTCTATAGTCCATTAATTGTTGAAAGCTGGTTAGACCAGGCTCAATATAAAACATTTTTGTGACCTTGTCCTTTTAGTAAGTATGTCATCTCTTTCAGGATAAAATCACCAGAGTTGTGTGAGGTTAGACTACAAAAAGAATTTCCAAAACAAGGAAAGGGAATTACCCAAGAGGAAGAGAGTTGTTTTTCCTGAAGAGGTCTGAAAGTAGAGCTACATTCTGTGTGCCTGAGCTGAGTTGAGACCTTTGGGCTTGGAGGTTAGGGATGGGTACTGTGATGCTAGAATTTTCCATCAGGTTAGGCCTTGGATGAACAGAAGCGAGGTCTCCTGAGCTTGAGATACAACGTGACCACCAGGCAGGCCTGTCAACCCCGGGCAGGGCAGGATACTACCATTAGAAGGCACCAGACTGGCATATCACTCTTGGACTGTCCCTGGGCCTATCTCCATGTCCCCAGGGAAGCTTGTGATCAGGATACATGCCAAGGGTTGAGCCAAGTTTCTCCAAGGTTTAAAGCAAAGACCTGAGCCCTGGTGCTGGCTCTCTCCTGTCACCCTGAAGTCCTCATGATGCAAGCAAGCCTACCTTCTCTCAGTCTTAGTGACCCTACTGTGGATGGGGAGAGGTGGACCATAGGAGGTAATATATGCAAAAGTGTTTCTAAAAAGAACTCATTTTAATCACCTGGGAACTGTTCCACTTGCAGTTTTATTTTTTAAAGTTCATTATTGTTGCAAACTTATTCCACAACATGGGCCCTGATGGTCAACAATGTCACAAACACCTTCTGTAAGCGTGGAAGTCTCCAGGAGAGGTGACTGTTGGCGAGAAGCAGGACAACATTAGTTCTTCTGCAGTTTTCTTGTGAGACAATGCACAATATGGAAAATCCCAGGAGAAGGACTGGAAACTGTGTTCCCTTTACCAATGGCCATGGCCAACTACTCAACTTTGGCTAATCTGTGTCCAGTCCACAAAAAATGGAGGGAATGGGCAAGCAACTTCCATGTTACTGTGACTTTGGCATCTTTTTGGACACAACCATGTAGGGTGTGGCAGACTAGGCCCAATCCTTGATCTGGCCTTCGACCCTTGAGCATCTCTGCTCTGGAATAAATGCAAACCCCTGCTCCCAAGTGTAATGTCACCATCTTACGGTAAGCATGGAGATGGACAAGGTACCTTATCACATGTGCTCTCTAATAGGAGTTGTAGGTAGAAAAGTAAGACTTGAAGGGATGGAATGGCTTGGTCAGAGTCACAAGGCTCATGACAGATAGGGAGGAAAGACTGGAATATGGACCTGCCTTGAGTGTATTAGAACTATATTCTTTCTATTACAACATGCACCCCTTGAATGGAAAGTGGGGATCCTATCGTCTCAGGCAGGGGAGACACAGAGGTAAATAGTCTCAGGGGCCAGGATACCTTAATCTCTGCAAATTCTAGCACATTGGCAGTGGTGTGTTAGAAGAAAGGGCACAACCCCATTCCACTGGCCCCACCACCATTTATTGGCTCTCTCCAAGCCTCAGTTCTCCCTGCTGTCCAGTGACGTCACATTCTTGGTTGCAGGTGCGGTTCTTGGAGCAGCAGAACAAGCTACTGGAGACCAAATGGAACTTCCTGCAGCAGCAGAGGTGCTGCCAGAGCAACATCGAGCCCATCTTCGAGAGCTACATCTGTGCCCTCCGGAGGCAGCTAGACTGTGTGGCTGGGGACCGAGCGAAGCTGGAGTCGGAGCTCTGTAGCCTCCAGGACGTGCTGGAGAGCTACAAGAAAAAGTGAGTCTGCCTCATGTTCACCTCACTAGGAGTGACATGAACATGGAGTTTGGAACCTGACAGATACCATGAGAGGCCAGCGGGGGCTGTTTAACTATCTGGGCCTTAGTTTCCCCAACTATAAAGTGGGAAGCCTATAACTTAGCACATTAAGTGGTAGAACAACTACGTGGGATAACACAGGACTGGCCATTTGCTCTATGGCGGTGTTATTGTTGGCTGCCTAGAAGTTGGTTTTCAACTCATGGTAACCCCGTGCACAGCGAAACGAAACACTGCCTTGTCCTATGCTATCCCATGGTAGGTTGCAGGTCAGACGGTTGCCATCCACAGGTTCTCACTGATTGGTTTTCAGAAGTACATCACCAGGCTTTTCTTCTTAGAACGTCTCAGTATGGAAATTATGCTGAAATATGTTCACCAACATAGCAACATGCAGGTCTCTACTAACAGAGGAATGGTAGCTGTACTTGAGATGCCTTGAACTCTAAAATGATATAGTTCTATCTTTATCTCTCTTCTCACAACCCTACCGCATTCTCTCTCTAAATAAGGCCCCCATTCTCTTTCTCAGATTGTTAAGTCAGATTCTTTGACATAACATTTTGCCACTGCAGACTTCTGCTGCAGAACACCTTCTCTGTCCTACCTTACATCACTCCTTTCACAGATTCAAAACTATTTAGGGCCCTGGAATGCTTCAACCTGGGACTGTCCCAACTCTAGTTACCAACATGTTTCTCCTCACTGCAGACTACATAAAGTGTTCAGAAGTTCCCCATGTGTTTTTCCCCAGAACTTGGCAAAACCAGTCCTGCTATCTGGGTCACCCTCTTGGTTTAGTGTTGTCTTGTCCCTTTTTCCTGAACCTGTTTAAAATCTCCTTCTCCAGAGAAGTGACCCCTTGCTAGTATGATTCCTTGCAGTTGGCCCTTCCTCCAAACTTGTGTTCTTGCTGTCCCTTCCACCTGCCTGATAATCCGTCTCTCTAGTAAGCATTTCTTCATACCACTTGCAGGCTAATATGCTGTTGTTGCTAGTGGTCCTTGAGTTGATTCTGACTCATGTGTGCAGAACTGTGGGTTGTCAAGGCTGTGATCTTTCAGAAGTAGATTGCCAGGGACTTCTGGGTGAGTTTGAACCACCAGCTTTTCTACTAGTAGTCAAGTGCTCAACCATCTGCACACCCAGAGACTTCTGCAGGCTGGTGTAACTCCCATTTTCTCCCAACCCTTGACTTCCTGCTTCCCAAATCCCTCGCTATCACAGCTGGAAAGAACCATCTTTTGCTTTCAGTTCCCACAACACGATCAGGTCTTGATCTCCCTTGATCTCCCCTCTCAGCTTTTCATAGTGACATGTTATGCATCCTTTTAGACCAGCCCTCCCTGAGGGCAAGCTCTTGGGTCTGATTCACAGCCCAGAGTGGTAGTTGATAAGCATTATATTAATTAAGGGTGTTCAGGCAAGCTGAGTTCAATGTCTGTCTTAGAGATTGGAACCCAAATAAATCACTATCTTATTCTGTTAGGGATGGGATGAGTCAAACACACTTCCAGTGAAGAGAAACAAATGCATATATATTGAGAGTGATGGTTGATAAGAATGTGGGTCCATGGAGGGAGACAAGTGGGGTACTTCAGTGTAGCAGATGTCAACTGTGTGCCTTCCAGGTGCCAGACCCTGTGATGGGAGGCACGGATGTTTCAGAGAGGGAAAATGTTGGCTCCTTCCTACAAGATGCTCTGGTCCAGTAGGCGCAGACCACTTATGCATGCATAGGGATAGCTACAGTGTGGTAAAGAACAGGAGGAGAGAGGAAGCCCCAGGGAGGGAGAGAGCAGAAGGGGCCCAAGAAGATTGAAATGGATAGGGTTCCATTTGCTTGGGATGGACTTCTTAATAAGAGGGGAGCTCAGAGGAGATCCTAGGAAGGGAGAGGGGCAGAAGTAGATGACAAGAGAATACCAAGTAAGAGAGGACAGCTGAGGCAAAGGCTGTGACAGAGACAAGATACAGCAAGGCCATTGGAGGAAGTGGGTGGGAGACTGGCCTCTCTCTTGAGAAGTATCTTTCTAAAGAATAAGTAGCAAGACCAGACAAAAGACGGTTAGGAGACATCATTTGCTGCTCCAGTTGAAAGCTTTAGATTTTAAAGCAGTTCAATAGGACAAGAGTGAACTCAAAATGGTACTTGAACAAGTAGTAGCAAGCATACCGTACTTACTCCCTGCCAGGCACTATTCTGGTGCTTGGCAAATATTAACTCCTATGATAAATTACCTCGCAGCTGACCTAAGAGGTAGGTACTCTATCACCAGGTACACTGATGAAATGGGACAGAGAGTTGAGGTGACCTGCCTACATTGCAAATCTAGTAAGTGGCAGAACTGAGATTCAAACCCAGGCCATCCAGTGTCCACTGCCAAAGACTCAGCAGGTATCTGTGGGGAAAATGAAAGATGGGCGTCAGGAAGCGCAGTGAAGCTTTTAATGGATCGAACTCACTCATCAACCTGAGTTATTCTGAAACCCGTGAGCCTGATTTCTTCACCTGGGGGAGTGCTCTAGGAACCAAGGAAATACTTGGGCTGCCTCTACAGGCATGGCAAAGCAGGGTAATTGCTACCTTTGCAATTGAAATACTGGTTGAAGCCAGGCTCAGAATCTCCTTGTGAGGAGGAGCCATAGGATCTGCTGGAAATTTGGCGATGACAGCCAACTATGAGAACAACTCTGAACAGCCAGCCAACCTCCCTCCACCTGCTCAGAGGACAGAGCTAGGTGAAGTAGACTTCCTTAGCAGGATGATGAATGGAGGTAGCTTTAAGAAAGATTTACCAAGGGGTTGTACAGGCTACTGGGGGATGAGGGTAAACTGAAGACAGGCTAATGAGAGGTTATGGTAATAATCATTTGTCTTGAATGGTGGGAGGGGCTTGAGGTACCCAGAGACAGGTTACTAGACCTGGTGACTCATCAGGGCACTCACTCAGAGAGAGGTACATGTGGAACCTAAAGGCCTTTTCCTTCAGGCCTGAACCCAAGGCCTTTTCTAAACTCCATGAACATGACAAAAACATTTCTTTCTGCTCACCTATCCAGGTATGAAGAGGAGCTCTCCCTAAGACCCTGTGCTGAGAATGAGTTTGTCGCCTTGAAGAAGGTGAGGGATGGGTGGGCCAAATGGGAGAAGACTCTCTGAACTGATACAACTTACCTAGGACACCCAGCCCCTGGACTGTGTCCAAAAGTGTTTGCTGCCTGCCTACCCTGAAAAGCAGTCTTTCCCTGCTCAGATTCCAGTACTAGCCCCACTGCCCCTGGAAGGGGAGGTCAATCTCCTGCAACCCCTTGCAAAGGGGCAGTGACTGACCCGGCCTTAACCTTCCGCTTACTTGGGTGGTGTCTACACCTTCTGAGATGTTAAAGAGGTGGCTAATTCCAAATCAAAACAAAAACTCTATCAGGAGCACCCCAAGATGAAAATGATTGTGATGATTCCTCAGACAGATAGCTAGATGTTTTTTAGCCTCAACTACACAAAGTGAGCTCTGAGGAGCTACCATCAAAGCTTCTATAAATCCCTGCTCCCTTCAGAGCCTTCTTTACAAGGGCTCTAAGCCACAGCCTGGGGTCCTCAGCTTGGGGACACCCCTCTTGCCTTGGCTCCACCAAACTTTCATTTGTACATAGATCTAAATAAGGAAAAGAGGGACTTGAACCTGCCACCTGCCTCCAGCTGCCCTGGGAGGAGGACCCTGGACAGTGGAAGGTGGCTGTCTGAAGAGAGAAGTTCCTGACCAAAGCCAGTGTCCCAGTCCCATAACGGTCTTCACTGCTTTTCCTCAGGATGTGGACACGGCATTCTTGATGAAGGCTGACCTGGAGACGAATGTGGAGGCTTTGCTCCAGGAGATCGACTTCCTGAAAGGCCTGTATGAAGAGGTACCTGCAGTCAGCATGCCTACCAGTGGTACAAGTCAGTCCCAAGGGAGCAATGGGGCAGGAAGGCTTCTGTCCATGGGCATGTTTTCAGACTAACAGACATAAAAATGAGCCATCAGAGGTTCTCACCCTAAGAAGGTGGATCTTTCAAAGCTGCACTCTCAGATGTAACTAGAGGGTGGGAGGAGAAGCAGGTCTATGACTGAGGGCCCAGAAGCTCTATGGTAAAGTCCCATACAAATTCCTGACCCCAAGGAACAACAGAGCATGTTCTCCCCTCATTTCCCACAATTCCCTCCCCCTTTATCCTCGAAGATCTCACTCATTCTCCCCCTGGGCCCTCTACCAGGAGATCTGCCTGCTCCAGTCTCAGATTTCGGAGACCTCCGTCATTGTGAAGATGGACAATAGCCGAGACCTGGATGTGGATGGAATCATTGCGGAGATCAAGACCCAGTATGATGACATCGCCAGCCGCAGCAAAGCTGAAGCAGAGGCCTGGTACCAGTGCCGGGTGAGGCTTGGGAAGGTGACCCCAGATCCGCTTCCCCCCAGAAAGCGAATGAGGAGCTAATGAAGGCCGTGCCAAGCCACAGTGACAGAGCACTCCATAAACCCTGGGCCTGTCATTGCTGCTGGGCTCCAGGCCAGGTTCCTGCTGAGTGTAGGAGGGGACACCACAGATAACCCAGGCCTGTCACCAGGTTGCCACGGACACCCAGATTTATTTACTGCAGACTCACCGGAAGTATGGGCTTCAGGTCTGGCCTCTAAGCAACAGTCAATAATACTAATTGGTGATGAGGGGAAAGAAGGCGTTGTTGGGCTTCAAGGCGTAGGAGGTAGCTGGTGGCATCGTGTGGTTACTAATGGTGGAGCAGAAACTGTGATTAAGGTGACCCAGACTTAGGTAATTAGAGGCTTTCTGGGAGGACAGGGGTGCCCTAAAGGCAATTCAACTTAACAATATTATCATCCCAGTCTCCCCTGCCCTGCCTATGAAAGGTAAAATGTATGTGGGAGGACTTCAAAAAGTTCCTGGAAAAATTCCCTTACCTTTTCATTCCATTTTTCCATGAACTTTTTGAAGGTCCCTCATATGCTCATTCATTCATTCGATCATTCATTCAGCAACTGTTTATAGAGCATCCATCAAGTGTCAAGTGCAGTTCCAGAAGCTGAAGAGTCAGCTTCCTCAGCAAGACACAGTCCACGCCTAGTGTCTCTTGTATTCTTGAAGCAGAACAGACAAACACCAAATCAGCAAATGCAATGGATGTGTGTTAGACACTGGCAAATACTAAGTGGACAAAGGGTTGGAGTGGTGTGGAATGTGATTTTAAATAAGGAGGTCTGGGAAACCACCTAGCTGAGGAATGTGTCTCTAAGAGGATATGAAGAGTCAGATCATCCCTGTCCCCAAGGAGTGGCAGAGTAGGTAGAGAAGAAAAGAGATGAGTAAACCACCAGACCAAAATACAAAGTAGCACAAAATGATTGCTAAAGTGAGCAGCAAGCAGCAGGCTGAAGACAACAAGTTGTATCTGGAGAGACAGAGAGGCATTGCTATTCGATCTGGATGTTGAAGGACAAGTCAGATTTCAGTAAGCAGAAAACAGAGGTTAGGTGGTCAGGCTGAGAAGCAACACCAGCCAGGGTGAGGGTTTATGGAAGTGCATGGCTCAGGAGCTCAGAGAGTGATATTCTATGAAGAAGATCAGGCTAAAACATCTGGGGATTGGGGCACAGAAGGTCTGTAGATCTATGCCAAGTACTTGTGCTGTGGACTTTTTGCTAAAGGCATTGGGTCTCACTGTCCAAGGAGAACCCTAAGTGATGTTCTAATCATTTTCTAGAGAAGCATGGTGATCAGAAGTAGTAAGCTCATAGCCCATCCACAGCCAGGCTTCTCCTTAGCAGGCCCTTCCTAGGTTGCTTTCCTGGGCCACCATGAGTCAGGTAGTCTTAGGAAATACAATCTCATCTTCTCATCTTACTAAGTCAAACAGAATCAGAAAGACAACTCTATTAATTAAGGATTGCATTTAACTGTGAAGGTCAGAAATGAAACAATAGTTAAAACAAATTAGGTTTTCACAGAAATAGAATGTGGTTCTCTGACGCTGTTAGGGATCTAAGCTCTTTCTAGATTCCCATCACCCTTAACATATGTGTTCATCTTCGTGGCTGCCTGGTATCTCCAATGACTGTAACACCTCCAATCTCACATTCTCATTCCAGGCAGGAAGGAGGAGAAGAGAGGGCAGAAGAAACATACTAGCTAAATCACCTTCCATTTTAAAGAGCTTTCCTGGAAGCCTGACCCATCAAGGTCTATAGTTCTCACTGGTGCAAGGAAGGCTGAAAATTTATTCTCTTATCTGAGCTTAATGCCACCCCACGCAAAAGCAGTATTCTTCTTAAAGAAGAAATTGAGAGCAGATATGGGTTAAGCATTTACAGTGTCTCCCAGAGTAACCAAAGAAAATAAGAGTCAAAGTGAGTGACTTTGTGTCTATCTCTTGTTTGGGATTTTCTGTGAAATATGCTCCCATCCATTGTATGCATAAAATCTAGATTTGACCAACTTTGCAAAATCTATAAATGTAAGCTGTAACACAGGCTATACCAAAATTGTTTTCGGGGTGCAAAGGTTAAAAAAAAAAAAAAAAGGGTTAAGCCAAGATAAGACATACGTTCCATTTTTTTTCCAATTATTTTGAAAGAGAACAAAAAATGTACTCACCTCAATAAATATATGGTTTGACCTCAATCCTTGATTAGTTAGATATCCCAAGCTAAGCTCAAAAACTTCTTTCAAGTTTGAGAGGAACATATAAAAGGGAGATTGTTGTACTCTGGGTCATTGTGAAATTGTGAGACATTGTGAAAAGCATGAGACACAGAAAAACTAAGTAGAGAAGAGAGATCTTAAGGGTTGGAGGAGATCTTAACAAACCTGAAGATGCAGGAATACAAGGTGAGAAGGGAGAACACAGAGCAGCTCATGTAAGAATTGGACAGATATCTAGAGGACACAGGAGTACCTGAGCTAGGATCACTGGAGAAGGGACTAAGGGCAGTGAGAGAGGGAGCCAGGATTGTCTAACACGTATAGTCCTATGGTTCTGATCTCCTCTGTCCTGGCAGTACGAGGAGCTGAGGACGACAGCCGGGAATCATTGTGACAACCTCCGCAACCGCAAAAATGAAATCCTGGAAATGAACAAGTTGGTCCAAAGATTGCAGCAAGAAATTGAGAACGTCAAAGCCCAGGTGAGGCTGGGGGAGACAGTGTTGCATTGAGAACCCATCAGAGACTGACCACCCATCTAGACCATGAAGAGCAGGTCCAATACCCCTTGGGAGTGCGGTGGAAGAGGGAACAGACTTGGTATGCCTAGCTTAAGAGGAAGGGGCCCCTTTCTGCAGAAGAGCTGCACTGCATCAGGATGAGCAGCTTCAGGAAGGAATGAGGTCCCCAGCAGAGGTTAGGTGACTCGCTGTCAAAGCTGAAATAGCAAGGACGCTTCTTGTGATGTGAGTATAGGAAAGATGGCTTCCCTAGTCCTTTCCAACCCAAAGGCTCAGTAATTGTCTGATCCGGAAATGCAAGATGACTCAGAGAAGTTAAGAAAACCAGACCCACTCTACTCTCCAAGGCTAGTGAATACCAACCAGATGCTTAAAACCTACTAACCCCCCGTAAAATTCTCAGCATATCCAGGAAGGAAAGCTCAAGTCCCCTTGACGTTTTATAGACAAGAGAGCTAGTCTCAGTTCCCTGGAAGAACTATGTGTCACAATCCTAGGATGAAACACACAGTAGATTTGAGTCTGGCATGTAACCATGTCCTCTCTGCTCTTCTGAGAGCCTGCTCAGGACTCCAGGAACTCCCATAATGCTTTTCTGTGCCCTTTCCCCTAGCGTTGCAAACTTGAGAGTGCCATAACTGAGGCAGAGCAGCAGGGTGAGGCAGCCCTCAGTGATGCCAAGTGCAAGCTGGCCGGGCTGGAGGAGGCCCTGCAGAAGGCCAAGCAGGACATGGCCTGCCTGCTCAAGGAGTACCAGGAGGTGATGAACTCCAAGCTGGGCCTGGACATCGAGATTGCCACCTACCGGCGCCTGCTGGAAGGCGAGGAGCACAGGTGGGTTCAGTGAGAGCAGATTAGGTAAGGATGGGTACTGCCTGGCTGCTACCCTAACCTGCTTAGAGTCCACAGTCCTCATAATTGTCATGGTCTATGTGAGGACACCCAAGGAGCCCTGGTGGCACAGCCCTGGTGGACAAGCACTCAGCTGCTAACTCAAAGGCTGACAGTTCAAACCCACCAGCCACTCTGTGGAAGAAAGATGAGGCAGTCCACTTCTGTAACGATGACGGTTTTGAAAACCCTATGGGCATGCAAATGTTGTAAAGTGAATAAGAAAGATCATAGAAGAACTGATGCCTTTGAATTATGGTGTTGGAGGAGAATATTGAAAGCGCCATAGGCTGCCAAAAGAACCAACAGATCTGTGTTGGAAGAAGTGCAGCCAGAGTGCTCCTTGAAGGCCAAGATGGCCAAACTTTGTCTTTCATACTTCAGACATATTGTTTGGTAAGGTGGAGGGTCAGAGAAAAAGAGGAAGACCCCCAGATTGGCAAATGGATTGGCAAAGTGGCAGCATCAATGGGCTCAAATGTGGCAACAATTGTGAGGTTGGCCCAGGATCAGGCAGTGTTTCATTCTGCTGTGCATAAGGTCGCTATGAGTCAGTATTGACTCGATAGCACCTAACAACAACAACAACAACAAATGGGCAGCTCTACACTGTTCTGTAGTGTTGCTAAGAGTTGGGATTGAATTGATGGCAATGGATATGATGATGGCAGGAAAAGGGTAGTTGCAAACACAAATCTGCCTTGTTTTCTTTGATGTAGTTACTTTATGTCTCCTTTTTTCTCTTATCACAGGCTGTGTGAAGGTATTGGGCCTGTGAATATTTGTGAGTATATGAGTCATGCTCCAAAGAACTTGGGTCGTAAGAGTTGGTTAGTCCAACACAGACAGCCCACACCATTCGTGCCAGGGCCTCTGCATTCCCCCTAACCCTATATTCCAGGAGCTTCTGGTCTGACAGAGAGCTACCTTTCTGAAGATCAGAACTAGGAATAGATACACAGCATGGTTTTAGTGTTTCCAGGCCAACTGCAAGGAATCATACTAGCAAAGGGTCACTTCTCTGGAGAAGGAGATTTTAAACAGGCTCAGGAAAAAGGGACAAGTCAAGAGTAAACCAAGAGGGTGATCCAGATATCAGGACTGGCTTTGCCAAGTTCTGGGGAAAGACATATGGGGAACTTCTGAACACTTTGTGTAGTCTGCAGTGAGGAGAAACATGTTGGTAACTAGAGTTGGGACAGTCCCAGGTTAAAGCATTCCTGGGTCCTAACTGAGCACCCCTTTCTGTTCCCACAGCCGTGAGCAGCTCGAAAGGTGCTGTCCTGTATGAACCCTGCATGGTCAGCACACCCGTGCTGAGGACCGAGTACTGCTCAGGGAGCACCAGCGTATTGCGCAGCAGTGGGAGCTGCAGTGTAGTGGGCACTGGAGAACTCTATATCCCCTGCGAGCCCCAGGGGGTACTGAGCTGTGCAAGTGGGCGGGGCTCCAGCATGAAGCTAGGGGCTGGGGGTGGCTCCTCCAGCCACAAGTGTTAGTTAGCCCCTCCCCAGAGGCTGGCAGCCCAGGGAGCAGGGTCCCACCACCCTGGCCCCCTTGAAGCTGAAGACAAGAATGTTTCAAAATCCCCATCACCCTGTATTAACTCAAGATTTCCCTTGGTTTCCACTGGGAACGGCTCTTCAAGTCCACCCATGTCTTAGCTATGTGCAGACCCTTAATTAGGCTCTGGAGGTGGGGGTGGGGTGGGGGCAGATGCTGAGAAAGACAAAGCATAGCCCATGTTTCCTGGATGGTAATAGTCCAGCTAATGTGACCAAGACAATGGCTACCTCCCAATCACTTCTGTGCAGGATGAGAAGACGTGCTTTACCACTATCTGATTTTCCCCAAGAGGCCAGCCTTCCCTGACCCAGGAGGGTCCCCACCCCACTTTCCCTCCAGATATCTTGCAGCTTAAGAAAAGTGAATTTCTTTTAACGACCACCTGAAACATACATTACTGCAAACTTCAAAAAGATACACTCCAAATCCCATGTCGAATCCCACAGCTAACTGCCAGGATTCGGGATCACTTGGTCTGCCAATGGCCCTCTCAGTAGAGGGAACTTCTCTGGTCAGTTACATTCACTAAAATAAGGAGGAGTCCTTTTTTTGAGCCCACAGCATTTGCTGGAGGGAGGCTCTCAGGAAAATGCATAAAACAAAGGTCAAGGGGAATATGTACTGGAGAGACTGATGATCGAGAGGTGAAACAATTTGTTTAACAGAAGCAAGCCTTTTCCCTTCCTTTTGTAAATAGTCACCTGGTTCCTGCCCCTCCCTTCTCCCTTCCCCCCACCCCCAGTTTCTCTTGCTTTGGGTCTGATATAAATGTGTTTTCCTCACTTCAGTGATGTGAGGCTGCACCAGCCATTTTGGAGGTTCTGGCTCCTGGGCTGGGGGACTTCACCTGACTGTGCTGAGTTGACTCCACCTTCCCAGAGGCCCCACCCTTAATTTGCATCATGCAGAAACCCCTCCTACTAGGCCCCTCCCTCCAGGGATCCAAGGTCTTTGCCCTGATAAGCTTCTGGGTTTTTCTGTTTCAATAAACTGACTCTTGGTCACAGGATACAGGCATCAAAATTATTCAGCCTACTTTGTGAGTGCGGCAAGGCTGAGGGTGGATGAGGGGACTTGGGAGTAGAAATAAAGATCATCATAGAAATGGGAAAACTGCATATGAATGATTTGCAAGTGGCCTGTGGAGTAAATATGGATCCATCAAAATCACACTTAAAACCTGCACTGAACACCCAAGTCATTTGTCACATAAAAATCACACACCTATTGCACAGAGGCCTCCTTGTGTATCCTAGAGAAAATCCTGGGGGCATCCCTCTCTTGTATGTGCTTAAAACACCAGTTGTCATGGGATTGGCTCCAACTCCTAGAGGCCCCACATGTGCAGAGGAGCACATGTCCATTGAGTTTTCACAGCTGGTTTTTTGGAAGCACGTGTTTTGCACAACCTTTCAGTTAGCAGGTGTTTTGCACAACCTAGGGGCTCAGGTTGATCCTTGTTGTTGTTAAGTGCTGTCAAGTCAGTTATGACCCACAGTAACCCTGTATAGGGTTTCCGAGGAGCAGCTGGTGAGCTTGAACCATCGACCTTGCAGTTCAAATGGCTTTGCAGTCTGGTGCATTAACCCACAGCGCCATACCAGGTTGATCCTCAGCAGCCCTCAAATCCTAGACTCTGCCTCCCAATCCCTGTACATCTCAGTGTCTTAAAGCCCTGGCTGGGAAAAGCAACAGGATGGGAAGCAGCTGGTGAGAGAGGAGGTCCACCTTGTTGCCAATTGGCCAGTTCTGACTCCTGGAGACCCATGTTTGCAGAGTACACTGCTGCATAGGGTGTACAAGGCTCAAATCCTAGACTCTGCCTCCCAATCCCTGTACATCTCAGTGTCTTAAAGCCCTGGCTGGGAAAAGCAACAGGATGGGAAGCAGCTGGTGAGAGAGGAGGACTCTTGTTGCCAATTGGCCAGTTCTGACTCCTGGAGACCCATGTTTGCAGAGTACACTGCTGCATAGGGTTTACAAGGCTGTGACTGTCCAGAAGCTGACCACTAGGCCTGTCTCTCGAGGCGACAGTGGGTGGGTTTCAACCACCAACCTTTGAGTTAGTAATTGAACACGTAACCATTTACTCCCTCAGGAACTCTCTCTCCTCTTAGAGTGTCCCAAACCCTGGGCTCTGCCTCCCCATCCCTAGTCCATTATCAGTGCCTTGCCTTGAGGAAGTAGTCAGGTGGGCAGCAGCTGGTAAGGGATAAGGACCAGAACACTCCAATCTTCTCTTAATCTCCTCTTAGGAAGCCCCAAGAACTGGAGACCAGACCTGGTCAGCAGCAACCACTTTCTGTGATGCCCTGATACCCTCTCCCCTCTTGCCCCCATCACAACTCTTTCTTGGGGTCTTTCTTCCCTTTGTGGGTGCCTCTCATCCCTCAGAACCTCATGCTGAGCCTCTACTCTGTGCCACCCCAGCATTAGAGGCTGGTGAGACAGCCTGGGGTGACTAAGGCACTGTTAACCTACTCTCATATACATGAGTGCTGCAGAGCCTGGAGCAACCAGGAAACACCACTGATGATTAAGCTTGGGGGAGGGGGTCAGAGAGTTCACAGAGAAGATTGTAAGAACAAATCTGAAAGGAAACCTAGAGTTACAGACTCAGGGCAGCATTCAGAAGAACCACACATCTAGTTCTTCATTCATTCGATATATATTTAATTGAGCACCTACTATATTGATCAGGTCACTCAGAGGCTGGCCACACATTGGACAAGACAGTTCCAGATAGGGGAATCCAGAAGGTACAGCAAACACAATACTTAGGGCCTAAAACAGACCATCCCCCAGAGAGTTTGTCTCAGGGTTATTCAGGGCTTTTCCCATTCTCCCCTTTCTTCCCACCTTCCTCGCCTTCCTGATTCAGGGCAGGCTTGACTAAAGTGCCTCCTGGTGGTGGTCTGACCAGTTCACTCTTCTCAGCAAACACTTGGGCTTCTCCTCTGGGCCAATCTATACCTTTCAAGGCCCACAAAACATTCTAATTTTAAATTTCTTTCAAAATCAGAAGAAAAATGATATAGAATAACGAATATAAATGATAAATTCTATAGAATAACAAATCCAGCCTGGATTATATTTGTCTTTATGTCAAAGCAGTTGTAAATATCGTTTTTAATGTTTGTTATGAAGGAGGGGGGCCACGGAAGACAAACTAGAGCCCTGGTCCCAACCCATGCCTCATGAGGCCCCCAACCCAGCAGGGAATACAGATGTGGAACCTGAGGCCACAGGCGTGAGGGTGCTTGTGAAAAAGCAGGGTGAAATGCCATGTTGGCATAGTTCAGGGACCACTTTAGTCATGGGAATCAGGATACTTGTCCTGGGTGAGGGGCAGCCACTATGAGCCAGAGCCCAGAGCTGTGTGCAACGTGGCGGGTGTCTATAACTGAAGGGAGCACAGGTCTCCACTGGGGGCAGGGAGAAGGAAGCATAGGATTGCAGACACTCTGTGCTCCTGGAAGCCACACCACTCTAGACCTGGCCTTAAAGCCAGCTAAGCTCCCTGCCAGTTAAAAACTTCAAGGTTTGCAGACAAGGAGATTTCAAGGAGATGCCCACCTCTATGCCCCACTGGGGTTTTGGATGGACTTAGGAGTCAAACTGGACAGGGAAGGGAGATTCTTGCCATTTCCCTCTGAGGTGGGCTCCAGGTCTGACAGCCATTCCTTGTAGACTTCATGTTCCAGAGCACCTGAGTCTGTAATGAGTACAGGCTGGGAGGAGAGGCTGTTTGGAAGCATCCACTAAGTCAGCTGTGGGAGGCACCCCATCCCAATTCTGGACTCAGATTACAGTCCTACAGAACATCCTCCAGAAAATTCTCCTCAGGGCTCTTCAGGGCTTTTCCCATTCTCCCATTCCTTTCCACCTTCCCCGCCTTCCAGACTCAGGACAGGCATGACAAAAGTGCCTCCTCCTGGTGGTGGCCTGGCCAGTTCACATTCCACTTGTCTCAGCTTCTCCTCAGGGTCCACCCCTCACTGGCTGCTAAAGATACAGGGATGGCCAGGCCCCCTGCCCTTGTGGAAGAAAGAGTTGGGCCAGGGAAGGAGAGCTGCGTACTTGAAGCTAGAGCCTCATTGTATTTGACTTGACTTGGGTATCCATATTCTGGGTTTTTCAAGAGCACCCCAGTAAGGACAAGATGTGGATGCCCCAAAATTCATGAGAAGGATAGATGATGAGGAAAGAGGCTCCTTGTCAATGCGCTGGTCTCCTCAGAACCTTGTCCCTTTCTGCTATTTCCTCCCACCGTTCCCAAGGGCTCACCCCATACAGCTCTGCATTGGGCCATTGTCCTCCCGCAATGCCCTCTGCCTCTGGCTTCAATGGTCCTTGTTCCACCACATGAGTGAACACAGGAAGTCTACCCACTACTTCCACTCTTCACCCAGGGGTTACCAAGTGCTCAGGAAGAATTCTGGAGAGGGCAAGGAGTCGGGGGATATGACTTCAGAAAAAGCCCTGTGAGCAGAGGAAGGAAAACGTAGGACCACTGAGTCCACAGAAGAAAGAGGACTGCATCCCAGCCACTCAGCACCTAGATGCAGTGCTGGGCACATAGCAACCACCCTTGGGTTGATTTTGACTCATGGTGAACCCTCATGCATCAAAGTATTTAATGGCTTTGACCTTTCAGAAGTCAATTGTCAGGGCTTTCTCCCCAGGTCTCTCTGGGTGTGTTTGAATCTACAACCTTCCATTTAGCAGCTGAGCCCCAGTTAATGCTTGGTGAAGCAACATGGACTTTAATCTTACAAGGAGCAGCATTTTCACTATGGACAGGTGATACCTGTGCTGGTGATGTGAGAAACTTGGATTAAACCTAGAAAAGTCATCCTGCCTGCCTGGGAGGAGTGTGGGACCAAACAAAAGAAGAATGAATGCCTTGTCTCTCATGGGAAGGTGTTTAAAT